ACGTCGACGGCGGCGCGCCCCAATAGGCGACGACGACATTACGACGACGGCGACTACGACGACGACGACGACGGCGCGCCCCAACAGGCTCCCCAAGGCCATGCTCCCAGAAGGCCTTTTGGGAACCCGATTCATACGGCCTTCGCCCCCCTACACAACCATTTTCCTCGAAGGCCTTTCGGAATTCACATTGGCGAGCGTGTACTGTGGTCCACTACTTCAGTGGAGCAGTGAATTCGTCAATGCCCGGGGCGCGCGCGATGGTTCTAGTATATATATATATATATATATATATATATATATATATTATATATACATCTATGTCCTCTTCCAAGCTTCGTAGCACTAAAAACCGTAGACCCCAAGCGGTCGGCAGGTTTGCATCACTGGCTCACCATAGGCTTTCGGGAGCTACTGGCTGTGCTGCCTCTGGGATCGTTCTCGAGGCCGGGGGATTGTGGGGGTCCTCGTCGTTTTCATATGGTGTTTATCGAGTGAAACGCTCTTCCATCTCTCTGCGTCATCATATTATCTTCTTGATATCTTTCGTTCCTTCGTCCTCTTGCCATCTACTCCTCGCTCTTCATTTCTCTCTCTCTCTCTCTTTCTTTCTATATCCTTCCCGTTTCGCCAGCCTTCTAGCATTCATCGCCCCCCCGAGCATGGTCTTCGGAACTCTAACCCTGTGCCACGCGGCATCTGATGCTTGTGGAAGCTGGCGGAAGCTTGCAATTTTGCAATTCGTATAGGGGAGCGGGGGATGAGGAGGAGGAGGGAGGAGGAGGAGGAGGAGGAGGAGGAGAAGGAGTGAGGAGGAAACCATATCCACGTGTGTAAAAAAATGCCCCCCCGAGCATGGTTCTCGAAACTCTAGCCCTGTGCCCAACGGCATGGGGCTGGAATTTCGAGAACCATGCTCGGGGGGCATTTTTTTTTGGACCTTCCGACTCTCTGAAGGTATCTTCGCCAATTCTCCGCCGCATTCCACTCCGATCCATCTTCCATGGGCTGAGAATTCTGATGCTTGCGGAAGCTGGCGGAAGCTTGCAATTAGCATAGGGGGGCTGGGGAGGAGGGAGGAGGAGGAGAAGGAGGAGGAGGGGGGGAGGAGGAGGAGGAGTGAGGAGGAGGGAGGAGGAAGATAAAGATGAAGTGGAGTGGGATGCGTGGGAGTGCAACTTCGGCTGAGAATTCTGATGCTTGTGGAAGCTGGCGGAAGCTTGCAATTAGCATAGGGGAGCGGGGGAGGAGGGAGGAGGAGGAGAAGGAGGAGGAGGGGGGGAGGAGGAGGAGGAGTGAGGAGGAGGGAGGAGGAAGATAAAGATGAAGTGGAGTGGGATGCGTGGGGGTGCAACTTCGGCTGAGAATTCTGTTGCTTGCGGAAGCTGGCGGAAGCGTGGAATTAGCATAGGAGAGCTTGGGAGAAGGGGGAGGAGGAAGGAGGAGGGTGAGCAGAGAGATTGTAGTTGCAGCCGGAGCTCATATTAGTTGGCATTGGTATCGTCATTCGCATTTGCATTCGCATTATTCCGTCGACCTTGGTCCAAGCTTTTATTTGCATGTCTACACTACATAACAAAACTGCCGATTGAATTGTTCGCCCTGGCATGGCCCCAAAGGGACGGCCACGCCGCGAAAGGACACTGGAACATGTTCTAGAAGCGCGGAGGGCCAAGCTCAGGAGGCGACGGGAGCTTTACGCCGACAAAAAGATCAGAGAGGCTAGCGCTCGGATGGAAGTGCTCGACGGGCGGGCTGTGGCGGAGGCCAGGGAACAACACCGTAATCGACGAGTGCAACACGTGTCCACTCAGCGTCCTGAGCCGTCTCGTAGGCAGCAGCTTCGCCACACGCAGTGGTCAGTAGACGCGTCAGCAACCGCCCGCACTCTTGCTGCACCAGTGGCCCGCACGTCGTACAGCAGCCGCGGAAATTCGTCGCACGGCATCAGGGAATTAGCGTTTAGCTCCCAGGGCGCCCATAACTCCGCCGAGGTGGAAGCGATCTGGGAGGAGGCCTCCCCAGAGCACTCGCCCACCGAGCCGTCGCCAGAGCTTTCTGCCTCTCCGTGAGGACCTGTTATTTGAACGAGTAAAAACAGAATTGTCATTGATGCTGCTCGTTATGCCAGTGTTGTGTTGTCTTGTCCTTGTTCTGTTCTGGTCTTTGGTCTGGTCTGATATTTGGTATGGTCTAGTCTTTGGTCTGGTCTTTGGTCTGGTCTTTGGTCTGGTGTGGTCTTTGGTCTGGTCTTATCTTTGGTCTGGTCTGGTCTTTGGTCTTGTCTTGGGTCTGGTTTGGTCTTTGGTCTGGTCTTGTCCTGGGCCTGGTCTGGTCTCTGGTCTGGTCTAATCGATGGCCTGGTCTGGTCTTTGGTCTTGTCTTGGGTCTGGTTTGGTCTTTTGCCTGGTCTTGTCTTTGGCCTGGTCTGGTCTCCCGTGTGGTCTAATCGATGGTCTGGTCTGGTCTCTGGTCTGGTCTGGTCATTGGTGTTCTCCTTCCCCCCTTTCCTCTTCCTCCTCCCTCTCATTCCTCTCCTTCCACATTCCTTCCTCCCTCTCTCCCTCCCTCCCTCCCTCCCTCCCCCCCCTACCTCCCTCTCGCCCCCCCCCCCTTCCTCCCTCTCTCCCTCTCTCGGTCTCCGCGCGGGCGTTTGTGGTTCAAGCAATCAACTCTACCTGAGCGCTCTTCGTTGCGTTGGGACAGCCCCACCTACGTTTGCTCTACTGTCAGACATGGCGCAGCGTCAGCGGGCGACCGCCCAAACGACAGATTACGAGAACATTTAATTTACATTAAAACGTAAAAAACAACAACGCAACAACAACGACGACGACGACGACAACAACACCATTACCAACAACAACAGCAATAACAACATCAACAACAACGTTAACAATATCACCAACAACAACATATACAAATGAACCTTTCCGGCCCCCAAGATGATCAGGACCCTGGAGAAGCGCATGGCCGGCCCCATGATGACCCAACAGCAGATGATCACGCAGGGATCGAACGCGCCCGTGACGAACGCGGGCTTGGCCATTATCCAGGTCAAAGTGAAGGGCGCCGTACTCTCGGCGATAATGCGCAGCGACCCACGTGACCCGCAGGCGGAGCAGTTGCTGTGGCCCGACTTCCAGGACTTCGAGAACGTGAATCTGCGCCCTGGAACGTACGCCGCGGTGAAGTGCTGGGGCGAGGACTTCTTGCGCATGGTCGACGCGGAACCCGCTGCTCTGGGGGAAGTCTGTGGGCACGCAGGCCTGGCGGCAATGATGCCTGTGGCATTCGCTGGCGAGGTGGAAGTCGACGGCAACATGCATCTCACGGCCTGGGCGAACGCGTCTGGCACATACCAGGTGCCCTCCAAGCTCGCGAAGCAGTCTGGTCTTCCACCGAACTTGTTCTGGAAATTCGTGGACCGCGAGAACTTGCCAAATCTCCCCGACCATGGTCGCCTGAAGTTCGTGCGCGGCGGGGGCGCGCTACAACCGCCCGAGGTGCCCGATGACACTATCGACCGAGCACTTTCGCAAATGATCGGCGACGGCCTGCAGGGCGAGAGCCGCGCCGATGAGGAGCCGCCCGAGAAGCGCCAGAAGACCAGTGCCGACTTCGTCAAGAGCTTGCTGTTCGCATCGATTTCGGGGTCGTCGGGCGGCGGGTCCTCTACGCTGGGAATGGCGCGGCCAGTCGAAGCTCCAGAGGCCCCCGCGGCGGTGGAGGCTGTCACGAAGGACCCCATGACGACAGCAATGGAGATGATGGAGAAGGTGGCGACCGACTTTGACGACCTGCCGAAAGACAAGGGGATCCTCGTCGGCTTGGTGCGCTACTTGAGCGAGGCACCCATCTCCAACTACGCCCCCTCCAACCGCCACCGCCCCACCATGCTCCTCATAATCGAAGCTGATCGTTGGCGGGCACACTTGAAGGAGTGCTTCTACTACGCGGGCGGGTGCTGGGATCAGGTCGAAGCCTTCGACATCAAGGGCTGGGACTTCATCACGGCGCTGGAGGGCGTGTTCACGAAGATCGGCGGCGCTGGCGTGGAGGACCATGATTGCCCTGATTGGAAGTGGAGCGCCCTCCGGGGGGTCATCGGCTAAATGCCGCGCCAGGACGCCGTGGCGCTCGCCACTCTCTGCAACGAAGCGAAGACGCACTCGGGCGCCCTCAAAAAGGCCACCGAAAATAAAGGGTGGAAGGGCAACTGGGCCCTCAGAGTGGTGGATATGATGCGCGCGTTCAAGGCTGCCGTGGACAAATGGGCCACGCGGACCCCCCTGACCATGCTGTTCCTGAAGACTTGCGACACGCCGAAGCCAAGGTCCCAAGGCGTCACGTTCACCGACTGTTACTTGGATTCGAGTTGGGATACAGCTGTTCCAAAGCCGGAGAACAATTGCTACACGCGGGTTCCTTACCAGTTCTTCTGGTCGGACGACGACATTGCGAAGGCGGGGATCGACGTCGTCGAGTGGGACCAGCGGTTGACAGTGTTCCTGCAGGGCCTCTACTATAAGAACGAAGCCGTCTTCCAGTTGGAGCTGGCGTCGTTGAAACTGGCGCCCCTGCGGATCAATGCGGCGAAAATGAACTTCAAGGTTGGGCACGGAGGGAGTGGCAAGCACATGGAAGCCACCTTGCAGAGGAACATCGTCGGGGAAGCGAATGCCCACTACTTGGACTGCGGCGTCTTCTACGATCGGTCCGAATGGCGCAAATCTGGCGGAGCAGCGTGGAACAAGTCTATCGTCCGCATACAGGAGTGCGACGCTAACGCCCGCATGGTCTCTGACATTTGGAAGCGGTTCATTGTCGGGGAGGAGCTGTCATGCCGCGTGAACTGCGGGTTCGCCGCGCAGAGGACCCTCGGCGAGTGCAAAAAGGACCAAGAATTGAACTACGAGAATACCCCAGTCCTAGAGGAGACAGGGGGAACGCGGAAGAAATAGTGCGAGCAGTTGGAGCGGCGGATCATATGTGTCCGCATGGGGAAGGCCACGTTCGTATACAGCGACGACGACGTATGCCACGAGGAGGGCCGCTTCAAGAAGATCCAGCAGGACACGTTAGATGAGTCCTTATCGCGCCCGTGGGTCGCTGCGAGGTTTCTACACAAGTACTTGCGGCCATTCGCCAGGAACTACACTCCCAACGAGTCGCTCGTGATGCTGGGCGATATCAAGTCGCTGAGCACGGAGATGCACAGGGATCTCGTGTGGTTGGCTTCCAGGCTCTCAGGGGGAGACGACCCGCCGCCCGAGGACGGCCAGGTGGCAGACGTGGTCGAGCGAACCTTGATTGCCGTTGCTCACGCGAACACGCCCGCGAAACCTGTCGTGAAGGCGCACCTCATCGAGACATTGGATTGCATCCCTGGGACGCGCAAGCCAGGGAAGAAGGGCTCATCAAAGTGGCAGAACATTACAGCTGCCATCGGGAAGTCGAATCTGCGCCTCTTCACGCAGGCCGACACCAACGCCTTGAGGAAGCTCATGGTCAACTACGACAAGATGATGCGGACGTGGAATACATGCGGCGGCAGGGGCGGCCTTGGAGAATGGGAGGAATGGGGCAACCCGTTCGATCACATTGACAATACATCTACGCTGGTTGCAGTTGGTTCCGTCGAGTGGTACGCGATGATTCTGGAGCACCTGAGCAGTCCCGTGACGGCCCTTGACGGCGTGTCCACCACGAAGGTCAGATGCGTTGAGATGCCTTCCTTGGGTGCGTTGCAAGAGTACGCCAACGGCAAGACGGATCGGCGCCAGCCTGTGCTCGACGCGTACATCCAGCGCTGCGTCGCCCACTACAACAGCAACGAGCGGTTGGTTAAGCTGCCAATGGATTATTACACCTCTGACCCATATGCGCGCGCGCTGTGCAGAGGGGTCGGTGGTCAGGAGCTCACTCGCGAGGCACGGGTAGCCGCATTCCCCGACTACATCGAGAGCGACGCTCCGCGTTGCCACCCGCGCTTGTTCAAGAAGGCACTGCAGGCGCGCGGCTTGTGGAGTGATGACAGGTTCCCCATGATCCGCAAGTCCTGCGCCGACTACAAGAAGTGGCGGGAGGCCGTTGCCATGTACCTCGAGGTCACCGCTGACGAGTCCAAGGTTGAGTTGATCAAGCTGTTCTACGGTGCTCGGCCAGCCACGCAGTTGCCGTGGCTTTTGAAGCTCTCCAACGAGATTGTGGACGGCACCCGCCCCCTGCTCGGTTGCGCCGAGTTCGCGGAATACAACGTCTTATACGCCGACCGCCCCAGCCCCGCAGTCAGCAGGATCGCGGCCATCCTGTCGCACATGGAGAATGATGCGTTGATGGTTCTGTTGGACAAGGTTCGGGGCGCGGGGAGCACCAGCGAGGTTCTCATATTCGACGGCCTCCTCGCGAAAGTCGTGGATTTCCGATGCGAGGCGATGCTCGCGGCAGCCGTGGCCGAGGCGAGCGCAGCCGCTGGCGTGGAGTTCCAGATCAAGTCATGGCAGCGCGGGGCCGAGCACGTGCGCTTCGCCAGGGCAGTGCTTCGCGGCTCACAGACGGTTGTCGTGCGGAGGGGGCGCGGCGATCGCGAGGTAGCCAATTGCGTCGTCTCGGTGGCTGACTGGGCACAGCTGGCCCCCAAAACCATGCTCGACGAAGAGAGCGCGACCATGACGGTAAAGGAGTTCAACGAGTCCGAGTTGGACCATTCCCAGCGGGATGCGGCCAAGATCCCTCAGTTCACCAAGGAGACTGCGAACGACGTCTTCCGCCTCGACCATCCCGAGGGCGCTGTCTACGGTGTCATTGAGCCTCAATCAGCGCCTGCGCCTGCACATTGCCATGGCGTCAGAATCTTGGAGGGCGATTGCGTGGCGCTCTGGGGCCCAACGGCGCCTTCAGTCGAGATGCACCTGCCCTTGGCCGGCCTTGAGGCGTTCGCAGAGGGCATGGACTTGAAATGGTTCTCGCTCGAAGCGGTGCACGCAGATGCGGCGTTGCCGGCTGGCGGCGGCGACGCGGACTACGCCATTCCAGCTGCGGGCGCCGACGCGTTGTTCCAGCCAGGACCTGGCTTGCAGATGGCCGTAGACACTGACGGGCCCTTCGAGACGAACCTGTGGAAGTGCGTCCACTGCCATTCCCCCTTACAATTGCACAGAGGGGAGGGTTGCGAGATCTCCAGCACCCCTTACGACCTCCACCAGACCACTGAGATTGCGGTGAGGACATGGCGGTGCACTAACAAAGGACGCAGGCTCACGTACGGCCCAAACTTCATGTGGGTCGAGGGCGACAAAGTGAACACAGCCACGGTGGCCGACTTCGAACAGTCTGGCAGAGTCTTCGTGAGCAACAATAGGGCGTTCACCATGCGCTATCTGCGCTACCACGAGAAGCTGATGTTCCGCGCCTTCACGACGGCTCGCGGCATCGACTGGGTCACGAAGGAAGTCTTTGCGAACAAGGCCGATGAAGGATACGGCAAGGAGTTCGTCACCGATTTCAGAAAGCTCCACCTCGACGCGATGTCCCTGATCGCAGTGCAGGAGATGGGGCCGATCAAGGAGCACCGCGGGGTCGTCATCGGCGAGGAGATCACCGACGATCACTTCTCCAAGCTGGACAGCTACTATCACAGGAACGCGTTCCCCGCTCCGCGCCCGAAAGACATCGCAGTTCTCGTCGGGGACGGGCGCGAGAAAGTCCTCACGAAATGCAATGGGGAGGAGAGGCAGCAGCGCGCCGTGCGCAGGGGGGCAGCAGCGATGAAGGGGTCAATGAAAAGGGCGCGCAAGACCGCCATCATGAAGCACGCCCTCCGCGTGAAGCCCGCCGCGAAGAAGAAGTCAGTGGTTCTCAAGAGGCCGTCCGCCGCGCCAGTTCGCAGGAGGCCGTCTGCCGCTGCACCAGGCAAGAGGCCGTCCGCCGCAGCGATTCGGAAGAAGGCGCAGTACAAGAACAGCGTCAAGGCAGTCCGCCACATGCATCACAACCACGGCTGGTTCATGGCCCTCACCCCCGAGGGGCGCATCGTTGCCGCAGTCGAGCAGAAGAACCCCGAGGGCAACGGCGTGGCGGCCGAAGCCCTGACCCGCGCGCTCAAGAAGCACCCCAACGTCAACACGTTCGTGTACGACAGGTGCTGCTCCTTCTACGTATCAGCCCAGAAGTTGCCTGCCTGCAAGGACATCAAGTACTGGTCCGTAGATTGGATGCACGCGAAGGGCCACGCCCGCAGCTGCCCCTGCAACCCGTACCACATCATGCGGTTGGGCCGCCGCTTGACGGGCATCAACACGCAGGTGGCGGAGCAATCCTTCTCGTGGTTTAGGGGCTACGCGCGGCCGCTGAACGAGATGTCCCCGCTGCGCCACAAGCTCTGCGTGCTCTACTTCGCCAAGCTGCACAACAAGTATGTGGAGGAGCATAACGCCGATTACCTGCCCCCGAAGGAGAGCCTCAAGACGACGCAGGGGAAGGGCGGGCATTACGGCTGCCCCTAGTGAAGCCAGGTCGAGTATTCGGGTTAATGGCTGGGGCCACTATATGCGCATGTAAATCTGTTATGCGATATCACTCTGCCTATGCGCTGGGTCTGCGTTGATTAGCGTGTTGGTGCGCCAGACGCCCCAGCGCGAAGCTGCAGTTTGCTTGATTGAATTCGTGCGCGGGTGTAGAGCTGTCCAGAGCGATGGTGCATCATATGTGCCAACGGGGCGTTTTGTGATATTTCATAGGGGTTCGATACTGTTTGGGGTCATGGGTTTTGCCATGACGCGCTGCGCGTGTAGCTCTGGTGTTATGTTGCTAAGGTTCGTGTGCGGTCTTAGGGCCGAGTAATTCACGAGCGCGCCAGATGTGCCAACGCGACACTTGCATATTGCATTCCCATTCAGCACTGAGAGAGATATCTTTCGTGGTCGGCCAGTTTGGTTTTTGAGCGCGTGCGGGCTCATACGAAAGGTGAGTTTTTTTTTCCACGTTGTGAGTAAAGAGACCCATGCTCATAGTCCCTCCTCTCCCTTTCCCTCTCCCTCTCTCTCTCTCTCTCTTTTTTTTTTTTCTCTCTCTCTCTCTCTCTTTCTCTCTCTCTCTCTCTCTCTCTCTCTCTCTCTTTCCGCCCCGATCAGTTCCCCCCCGCTCTCTCCTCGGGCCCGCCTCCATCGACGTCCAGGCGGCTGCCACTCGGCCGACATGCGCGGGCAAAGAGGCCTTGCGTTTCGTGGAGAGCGAATGCGAGCCTCCGGAAGGAGGAGGAGGAGGACGAGGAGGAGGAGGAGGAGGAGGAGGAGGTGGAGGAGGAGGAGGTGGAGGAGGAGGATGAGGAGGAGGAGGAGGGGGAGGAGGAGGAGGAGGAGCAGGAGGAGGAGGAGGAGGAGGGGGAGGAGGAAGGAGGATTTTTTTCGCGCCCCCTCCCCCCCCCAAAAAAACAAAAAACGGGGTGGCCTTCGTTTTTTTTTTGGGGGGGGAACACGCAAAAAAATACATGGAAGGAGTGGGAGGGAGGAGGAGGAGTAAAAGGAGGGGAGGGAGTTGAGGACCAGGATAGGGAGAACGAGCATGAAATAAGAGGAATAAGGGGAGGAGGAGGAGGAAGAAAACGAAAAGAAAGAGGAGGAGGAGGAAAGGAAGAAAACCATACGAAAACACCCCTCGAAAGGTGAGGACCCCCACAATCCCCCGTTCTCTCGATTGTGCCACCTTGGCTTTTCTGTATCATCTAGTGGCCTTTCGGTCCAGACCGCCACTTGACCTGGATCTCCTGGTGCGTCTAGCGGGCCTCTGGGGTGGGGCCGTCTTGAGTCCATCTTGGGTGTCTTGGAGGGATCGATGAGCGACTCGGGGTCCTCGTGGGCCGTCTTGGTGGCCATTGGGAACCTTGCAAGCTCATAGAATCAAGTTTGCAAGGAGCTTCCAGGAAGCTTCGAAGGACCTTCGAGGTTCGGGGCTCCCTCTTGGGAACGAGTCGGAAAACGCTTCTTGGGGGCCTCGTGGCCGTTTTGGAGGCCCCCTTGGCGCCGAAGAGGACACATGCCAACGTTCGCCGGGTCCCAGGCGCGGCCGGCTGCCCGGACGTCTGGGCCGTGGCCGTTGCCGTCGGTGTTGCTGCAGTGCAGTGGGAGGCCGGTCGCGAACGACAGCGACAGCGACAGCGACGGCGGGGAGAAGAGGTTGATTTGCCTGTTTTCCACCACCACCACCACCATAAGTTGAGGGGGGAAGCAGGAGGAGGAGGAGGAGGAGGAGGAGGAGGAGGAGGAGGAGGAGGAGGACCCCCTCCCCCTCCAACTCATGGTGGTGGTGGTGGAAAACATGCCCATCAGAGGTGGAGAGGTCGAGGGGAGAAACTCGGGGACCATGACCAAGATGTCGCAGGATATTGTCGATGCCGGTTTTGATCATGAGCCATGTCAGCCGTCGCCGACTCGCGAAGTTTATCCACGAGCTGTCGCTGACCAAGATCGATTCAAACCAAGGTCGACACAACGTCTCTGCGTTCAGTTTTGGTCATGGTCCCCGCGTTCTTCCCCTGCAGGGAGGGAGAGGGGCGACGGAGGACGGGTGGCTGAGGCAAAATGTGGGAGGACGAGGCGAGGGGGGACATGAGGGAAAGAGAAAGGCGGGACAAAATCAAAGGATGTACTCATGGATTGCTGATGCCCTTGAGGGTAGGCATGGCCCTGGCGAGTCGGATGGGGCACCTGGACGCTCCAATTCAGGGAGCGTGCTCGCGAAGGTCTGGAGGACAATGCTTTTGGACTCAGCATACCCCGAGGCAGCCACCTCTTCTCGGAGGCTGCCAGAGGTCTTCGTTGGACGAGGTCGCTGGACCTGAGGCCCCCCAGCCCGGCCAGAGGGCCCCCCCCCGCTCGAGCCGCGGCGCCCCAGCAGCTGACGAGTCCTTCCTTCCTGGACCAGACCTCCTCGCCGTCCCCGGTCTGGGCAGGCCCTCGGATGGCTTCCTGGTCCTAGTTCGGGCCTCTGCCGGCCGTCCGGGGGGGGCGAGCTGGGAATCCCCGCGGAAGGCTCTCGGCGAGGCGCAGGAGAACCGACGCAGAGGCAGAAGAGTTCGAAGCTGCGAGCGTCCCCCTTCAGCCAGGACCCTGGGCCAGGGGAGCCGGTTCGTGATTGGGCCCCGAAGCCCCACGAGTGTGCTGGAATCCCTGAACCAGTTCTGCCGTAGTTGGTGTTACTTGGACCTCCCGCCAACCCGGTTTGTCAATCCAGACATGCGACATTTTTTTTTTTTGAGTGCGCGGTCCCAGAAGTCCCGGCCTTCTCCCTAGGACGGTATTTTCATTTTGAGTATTTTTGTCGGCTGCTCCAGGGCCTCAATCCATGCAAACATCTCCGTCCTGAAACCATCTTGAGAGGCCGAAATCCATGGAAACATCTCCGTCCCGATTTTTCACGACGCGAGCATGTCTGGGACCGGTACCCCCCTGATGCTGCCCCCCTCAGCGCGGGGGGGGCCGTCGCGGCATCGCAGTTCCCGCTCGCCCCCGGCACTGCTGGGGGGACGGGCAGGAGCAGTGGCTGCAGCGCATGAGGAGCAGGGGGCTCTCGCCGGACAGCGTGAGCTACTCCACGGTCATCCACGCGTGCGTCAAGGCTTGCGCTGCCCTTCCTCCTGTGCCTCTTTTTTGGGGGCCTCCTCTGTGGCCCTCGTCGCCGCCGCTGGATTCGCCTCGGGATCCTGGTCCGAGCGCACCACGGGAGAGGTCCGAGGAGTAGCGGTACCGGTGCCTTTTGGTTTCCCCAGTGACGTTGCAACTTCACAGCGATGAGAGCAGATATTCCTGGATTCCCAGATCCGAATTTGCTCTTCCTGCTTCAAGAGTCTAGCGTTTTTTTTTCTCCCCTCCTTCAGGGGTGGGCGGAGAACCAATACACTTCAACGCCCTCTTACTTCATGTCTCTGCCTGCTGCCTCCGACCGACGGGTACGCTGCAACTTCGTGGGACCTCGCCTCCAGCGTTGCGAACAAAGCCTTGAGATCGCTCGGACGCGTGCACTTCTTCTCGGCGGGGATTATTCAGGAGCATCCTGCATCATCCTGCGGAAAAGCCGCCGCACGGAACCGACAAAGGCACAGGGAATGGACGTCCGAGCGATGGCCAGAAGCAGCATTAAGGTGTTTCACTGTGTTCGGACTCTGGGCTTGGCATCGCTCGGACGTGTGAATTTTTCCTCCGGCGAGGACCGTCGATGAGCATCCTTGATCATTTGGCGAAAAAGCCACGCACGAAAGCGAAAAAACACAGGGAATGGGCGTCCGAGCGATGGCCAGTGGACATGACCCGAGGGGCCCCGTGTATGCACCCGCTGCGGACTCGGCGCGGACAGTGGCGCGACAGCCCAGATGCTACGCTGTCGCGGGTGTCGGGGCGCACGCCGCGTGTGTCAGCGCTTAGCGGGGGGTCGGCCGCTCCCCTCTGGCTGACCCTGGGGCCCAGAGGTCCGAGGCTCCGAGCCAGAGTGGGGCGGCCTCCGGGGGCCCTCGACGGGCCCTGGGGCATCGGGGGCCCGCATAACGGGGTGGTGACCACACCGTGCGGTGAGTCAGTGGGGATTCGGGGTCACCGCATGGTTTTGGGACTCGGGTCGTTCTCCGAGGACGTCTCGGGCGACTGGGGCCTCCGAGGTCCCAAGACCGTGCGTTGACGGACCGTGCGGCGAGGTCTTGGGAGATTTCGAGATCACCGCAGGGTCTGTCACCGCACCGTTTCGGGACTCCAAAGGGCAGTCGAACAAAGCGCAATTGTCCAACCCCCTGGGGCTCACGCATTGGAAAGGATCGGAGCGCCAGGTGTCTTGGGAGCCACGCGTGGGGCCGAATCCCCCTGTCTGCCTTCCGCTGACCCAGGTCTGGGAGCTACTGGGTTGCCGGCCCTGCGTCGCGACAGGGCCCTGGCCGACCTTGGTTTGTCTCGAGGTCGGGAAAGGGTGTGGCATGAATGGGTATGATGCCAATCGTGGAAATGGCGATGGTACCTGCGATAAGTAACATCGCCAGAGTCCCCTTCACATGAAATAAACACCACACTCCTTTATACCATACCCCTTTCCTATCGACAGAGTTTTGCGCTGACCCGAGTGAGTGCGTCCCCGGACCCAGGCCTCCAGAGTATGGACAAAAAAGCAGTGGGGGTTCTCACAGTTTCGGCTTCTGGGGGCCCTCGCCTTCTCCGGTCAAGGAACGGTTCTGGACGAAGAGCTGGCCCTGGGGAAAGGGTCGGGATTTCTGGGAGATTTGGGTCCGACGATGTTTCTGTTGTTTCGTTCCTTGCGGCAGTCCCCAAGGCGGGAGTGAGGGAGAAGAAGGAGGAGGAGGAGGAGAAGGAGGAGTAGTAGAAGGAGGAGGAAGAGGAGCAGGATGAGGAGGCGGAGGAAAAAGATGAGTGGGACGAGAAGGGGGGATGAGGATTCTGGAGGAGGAGGGGTGGATGGGGATGGGGATGTGGATAGGGGAGATGGGGATCGGGATGAGGATTCTGGAGGAGGAGGGGAGGAGAAGGGGGTCTGGGCGGCCTGTCTGCTCAGCTGATACAGACTCACCGCCTGCGCGTGCTCATCGGAGTTCATTGTCACTCTCTTGAAGCCGTTCTGGCAGGGGGCCTCGACTGAAGGCCTCGACGGAATCGGTCCCTGTCACGGCGCCAGGCCCCCATCGACCAAACAGGTGTGTAACCGAAACGAGTCTGTGATTGAAAACGCAGTGAGACCGAAATTGAAACCGAATCTGAACATCAGATTGGTTTCGAGCCAAACAGTTCAGGCACACACACACACACTGACACGGTCGTGAAATTTCGGGCGCCGGTTTCGGTCACTCTCGGGCGTATTCTCGGGCACAGTTTCGTTCAGTAGGATGGTTGGGTCAAATTCTATGATGACGTTCGCATTTGTATTGTGTTATGGCAATTCGTTATGCGCGCAGGTGTTAGCGCACGAGTGCACCAGAAGGCTGATATACTGATGCCGTAGATGTGTTCCCGGCGATGTCGGCAACCGAGCTCGTCGCAGGACCATGTCGGCTCATGAGAAAAAGGATTCTAAGGCTCAGCAGTTCATCGGTTCAGATGCCCGTTCGGGCGACCTCTTTGGCCCCCTCCCGGATGGACCTGGATCTGTTCGAATGTGGCTCCGCTCCGCTTCGGTCCTCGCTCGGCTCAAGCTCGAGCCAAGTTCTGTTCAAGCTCGACTCGCGTCGGCGGACGTTCGGCGCAGCGTCGACGCTGGGAAGGGGCGCGAGCGGCTCCGGGCAGGCCCCCCAGTCGTGGGCGCAGAGCAGGTCCGTGTCCACGGCCTGGCGGGCCCGGCCCCTGGGGCGCGACCCGGAGGGAAGCTGGCCAGAGCACCCTGCCTCCTCCTCCTCCTGCTCCTCCTCCTCCTGCTCCTCCTCCTCCTCCTCCTCCTCCTCCTCCTCCTCCTCCTCCTCCTCCTCCTCCTCCTATGCCTCCTCCTCCTCCTCCTCCTCCTCCTCCTCCTCCTCCTCCTCCTCCTCCTCCTCCTCCTCCTCCTCCTCCTCCCGCGGAGACGGGGCGTTTCCCTGACGTCGCAGGGTACCAGCCATACACCTGCACCGATCCTGGCCAGGCCATTCCTGGGCCCAGGGTGGGTGTAATATGCCTTCCTGCCCCGGGCGCGAGGGCGTGTACACCGATCCTGGGCCCAGGGTGATCCTGGCCAGGATCGGTGTTGGTGTATAGTTGGTGCCCTCTCAGCGCTGCTTTTTCCTCGGCGAGGGCCGTTGAGGAGCCCCCTGGATCATCGAGCAACAAAGACACGCACGGAGCCGAACAATGCGCGGGGAATGGACGTGCGAGCGATGGCAAGTCTTGTCCTCGATGCGCGCACGCGCTCCTTTCGACTAGACGTAAGAGTGACCTTTCGCCGGAGTGACCTTTGGGCGCGGGCCCAATGGGGTCCCCCGATCGCCGAACGCGATGCGATAGTAGCGTCTTGCGCGCCTGTGTTTGGTCACCCCGCGGCCCTCACCGAGCCGCGCACCAAAGGTCGCTCTAACCCAGGGCCACTCTTGCGCGTAGCCGATTCTGGTGTGTGTGTGTGTGTGTGGTGTGTGTGTGTGTGTGTGAGTGTGTGAGTGTGTGTGTGTGTGAGTGTGTGTGTGTGTGTTCGTGTGGGGGGAAGATTGCGGAGGAGAAGGAGGAGGAGGAGGAGGAATCGGAGGAGGAGGAGGAGGAGGAAGAGGTGGACGAGGAGGAGGAGGAATCGGAGGAGGAGGAGGAGGAGGAGGAGGAGGAGGAGGAGGAGGTGCCCCTCACACACAAGCCTCGGGTCAGCTCTCGACGCGGCGTCGCGGGGACCAGTGGGCCCGACGGGGCGGGCCCCCCGCACTGCGCGGGCGGCGCGCGGCCCGCCGCGGGGCAGAAGAGGGGCAGCGGGGAGATCCGCGCCCGCCAGGCAGGCAACGCAGGCATGATGGGCAGCACCCCCTCCTTACCACCTCCTCCTCCCTCCTCCCTCCTCCTCCTCCTCCTCCTCCTCCTCCTCCTCCTCCTCCTCCTCCTCCTCCTCCTCCCTCCTCCCTCACCCCTCCTCCCTCCTCCTCCTCCTCCCTCCTCCTCCTTCCTCCTCCCTCCTCCTCCTCGCCTTCGCCTCCCTCCTCTCCTCCTCCTCCTCCTCCTCCTCCTCCTCCTCCTCCTCCTCCTCCTCCTCCTCCTCCACCTCATCCACCACCTCCTGCACCACCTCCTCCGCCACCTCCTCCTCCTCCGAGGGAGAGAGAGAGAGAGAGAGAGAGAGAGAGAGACAGAGATATCCTGGTTCCGCCGATGCCTCCTCGAAGGCTATCCGGAGCCTGGCTTCGGCTGTTGCCAGAAGTGCCCCCTGGCCCAAGGTGCCCCCATGATTTCATGGAGGCTCTCACGGCCTCCAGAGCACCCCTCACGAGGCCCAGGGCGGCCCCAGGGGCTCCAGAATCGAGCGGCAAGCTGGGGATACTTTGGGCCAGGGGCACCTATAGCAACGCCCGACGGCTCTCTCTATCTCTCTGTCGAGGGCGGATGCGGCCGTCCTGCATTTCGGCGGGTTGGCAGTTGTGCCATGGGTGTGGGTTCGGCGAAACATGCTGCCCGCCCCGCCCTCTCGAGCGCTGCGAGTCCTGCCGGGCAGGGGGCGTCCTGCAATTCCCCTGCGCCCCTGGCCTGGCAGCGCCGCGCGTGTAACCCCATGGCGGCGCGTGGACGCGCGTGCGGGGGGACGCAGGAGGTCCGTGGAGGCCCGCCCACCTCCAGATGCTCCGCGGATGCCCCGCGCGCGGCGCATCTGAGCGACGCCGTGTCCGCGGGATCGCGCCCTGGCATCCCGACCGCGCGCGCGTGGATCAGCGACGCGTGCGCCGCTCGGGGCCCACAGGGGGCAGCCAGGAGCGTCGGCGCCCGCCCCCCGAGGCCCACCAGCTCATGAGGTCGGAGCACTGGCTGCGCGAGATGGTCGACGCCGGCGGGGCGGGCGGGCGGGCGGGGGGCCGGCGCCGCCCCTGCGCTCGGGGGCCGTCAGGGCGGGACACTGTGCCGGCGGCCTGCAGGTCTGCCTCGTCGGGTCCCCGGCTCGCGCCGGGCCTCGCTCCTGTGCGCTCACGCTGATGGGCCTGCTGTCCACCACCACCACCACCACCACCACCATAAGTTGGAGGGGGGGAGGAGCTGGAGGAGGAGGAGGAGGAGGAGGAGGAGGAGGAGGAGGAGGAGGAGGAGGAGGAGGAGGAGGAGGAGGAGGAGGAGAGGAGGAGGGGAGGAGGAGGAGAGAGGGAGGAGGAGGAGGAGAGAGAGGAGGAGGAGGGGGGAAGGAGAGGAGGAGGAGGGGAGGGAGGAGGTAGGGTGGAGGGAGGAGGAGGAGGAGGAGGGAGGAAGGAGAAGACCCCCTCCCCCTCCAACGTATGGTGGTTGTGGTGGACAGCAGGCCCATCGCACGCCCTCCCGCAGGAGGCATCCCCGAGGAGAAGAAGATACCGATACCGCCGTCACTCGGGGCTCAGATTCGCCTGTTGGACCTCCTGGGAAGCTCTCTTCGCCCCGGCTGGCTGCGCATCGAGATCCTGGTTAGATCGGGGGCGGACAAGAGGGGGGTGATGACTAGGGGGGGGGGGGATTTCATGGCGGGGGCCATGATATTTCCCCAGATGTCATGGCGCCTCTTCTTATTTCATTGCGTCCCTGGCCCCCCCGTTGGGCCGCGCACATGCTGCCGGTCATGATTTGCACCCCCCCTCTTGGACACCCCCCTCTTGGCCGCTCCCGATGGTTAGAGGGCACCCCGGGAGAGGTCCGGAGAGGAACGGTATCGATCGGTCGTTGAGAGTAGGTATCTTTGGAGTTCCAGATTCCAATCTATTTTCAGCGCCTTCCTACTTCAATGATCGAGTGGCGTCACCTTTTCCGCGTCCTCTTTAGGGGGCGGGTGGACACCCAATCTAATTTGGGTATCGATGCCTTCGCGGTCCCAGAGATCCGAGGTTCCGAAACAATTGGTATCCAGGGCAACTGAACGGGCCCCAGCAGGGCCGGGAAAAAAACGTAGGACTAAAAACCGGCTTGGGAGAGTGGTCTAGATTTCTTGGGGTGCACGCATCACACGAATTGAAGCGCGCCCGGATGCCCAGGTGCCCGGGTGCCCGGGTGACGGGTGCCTGGTGCCCGGGTGGGTGCCCGGGTGACGGGTGCCGGGTGCCCGGGTGCCCGGTGCCCTGTAGCCCTATCGCCTTATAGCCCTATATCCCTATCGCCTTATAGCCCTATAGCCCTATAGTAGCCTTGTAGCCCTATAGCCCAATAGCCCTATAGCCCTATAGCCCCCCAAAAATTCGGATTGGGGCTTTTCTCCGGTATAATATAACATGATGTGACCAGTGTGAGTGAGACCGCCCCCAAATAGGAGGAGGAGGAGGAGGAGGAGGGGGATGATGATGATGATGATGATGATGATGATGATGATGATGATGATGATGATGATGATGATGATGATGATGATTATGATGATGACGAGGAGGTGATGGTGATGAGACGAGAGGAGGGGGAGGAGGAGGAGAGGAGGAGGAGGAGGAGGGAGGAGGAAGGAGGAGGAAAGGAAGAAGGACGAAGGACGCAGGGGGAGGGAGGAGGGAGGGAGGAGGAGAGGAGAGGGAGGAGGAGAAGGAAGGAGGATAGGAGGAAGGAGGAAGGAGGAAGGAGGAAGGGAGGAAGGAGGAAGGAGGAGAGGAAGGAGGGAGGAAGGAGAGAGAGGAGGAGGAGAGGAGGAGGAGAGGAGGAGGAGCAGGAGGATGAGGAGGAAGATGATGAAGATGAGGAGGAGGCGGAGGAGGAGGAGGAGGAGGAAGAGGAGGAGGAGGAGGAGGAGGAGGAGGAGGAGGAGGAGGAGGAGGAGGAGGAGGAGGGAAGGAGGAGGGAAGGAGGAGGGAAGGAGAAGAAGGAGAAGAAGGAGAAGAAGGATAAGAAGGATATTAAGGAGAAGAAGGAGAACAAGGAGAAGAAGGAGAAGAAGGATAATACTAACAATAAGGAGAATACGGATAATAAGGATAATCAGGCGAATAATTATAAAAACTGATAATAAGGAGAAGAAGGAGAAGACGCAGAATAATGATAGTAAGGATAATGATGATAATACTGAGAAGAAGGATCATAAGGATACTAATAACAATAATGATAATAATGATAAGTAAGAAGGAGAACAATGATCCTAAGGATAAGAAGGATAAGAGGGATAATAATGATAATAAGGATAATAAGGATAATGAGGATAATAAGGAGAATGAAAAGAAGGATAATACCGAGAAGAAGGATAATAAGGATAATAAGGAGGAGAAGGAGGAGAAGGAGGAGAAGGAGGAGAAGAAGGATAGTTCTAATCATAATAATCAGAAGAAGACGAATAAGAAGACGCATACTAATAATAATAATGATAAGAAGACGAATATAAGACGAAGAAGACGACGAATACGAATACTAATAACAATAATAATAATACTGATAATAATACTACTTACCCAGGGACGTACCCAACCCTTTGGCAACAGGTGGCATTATCAACTGGCGCTTTCAAAATAGCTGAACATCCGCTGGACGTCCAAGAGGCCCACGCAAGCGACGACCTTTGCGAGGACCGAAAGCGTGGCCCCTCCGCTGGGCCTCCCAGGAGCCCACGAAAGTGCCGACGGTTGCGCAGTTGGCAGCTCCCCCCGCAGGGAGCCGCGAGGTCTCGGCGCGATCTGCGTGTCACCCCCACTCCGCTGGGCCTCCCAGGAGCCCACGAAAGTGCGGACAGTTGCGCAGTTGGCAGCTCCCCCCGCAGGGAGCCGCGAGGTCTCGACGCGATCCGCGTGTCACCCCACTCCGCTGGGCCTCCCAGGAGCCCACGAAAGTGCCGACAGTTGCGCAGTTGGCAGCTCCCCCCGCAGGGAGCCGCGAGGTCCGGCGCGATCTGCGTGTCACCCCCACTCCGCTGGGCCTCCCAGGAGCCCACGAAAGTGCCGATAGTTGCGCAGTCGGCAGCTCCCCCCGCAGGGAGCGCAAGGTCCCGACGCGATCCGCGTGTCCCCCCAACTCCGCTGGGCCTCCCAGGACCCACGAAAGTGCCGACCGCTGGGCCTCCCAGGAGCCCACGAAAGTGCCGACAGTTGCGCAAGATCGCAGCTCCCCCCGCAGGGAGCCGCGAGGTCTCGGCGCGATCCGGCGTTGGCCCCCAACACTGACATCGCTGGGCACCTCCCAGGACCCGAATTGACGACAGTTGGCAGTTTGGCAGATCCAGCAAGGGAGCCGCGAGGTGGTCCGGCGCGATATGGCGTCACCACACACTCGCTGGGACTCCCAGGAGCACACGAAAGTGCCGGACAGTTGCGCCAAGTTGGCAGCCCCCCGCAGGGAGCGCAGAGGTCTCGGCGCGATCGCGTTGAAACCCCATTACGCTGGTCCTCTCAGGAGGAACACGAACAAGTGCGGAACAGTGTGCGCGGCAGTCTGGTCAAGTCGCCCCGAAAGGAGCCCGCGACGGGTCTCGCGCGATGCCGAGGCTCCCCCCCAACTCCGAATGGGCTCCCAGGAGCACGAAAGTGAGACGGTGCGCAGTTGGCAGCTCCCCCCGCAGGGAGCCGCGAGGTCCCGACGCGATCTGCGTGTCCCCCCACTCCGCTGGGCCTCCCAGGAGCCCACGAAAGTGCCGACAGTTGCGCAGTTGGCAGCTCCCCCCGCAGGGAGCCGCGAGGTCCCGACGCGATCTGCGTGTCCCCCCACTCCGCTGGGCCTCCCAGGAGCCCACGAAAGTGCCGACAGTTGTGCAGTTGGCAGCTCCCCCCGCAGGGAGCCGCGAGACCTTGACGCGATCTGCGTGTCCCCCCACGCCGCTGGGCCTCCCAGGAGCCCACGAAAGTGCCGACAGTTGCGCAGTTGGCAGCTCCCCCCGCAGGGAGCCGCGAGGTCTCGGCGCGATCTGCGTGTCACCCCCACTCCGCTGGGCCTCCCAGGAGCCCACGAAAGTGCCGACACTTGCGCAGTTGGCAGCTCCCCCCGCAGGGAGCCGCGAGGTCCCGGCGCGATCTGCGCGTCACCCCCACCCCGCTGGGCCTCCCAGGAGCCCACGAAAGTGCCGACAGTTGCGCGCGATCTGCGTGTCACCCCCACTCCGCTGGGCCTCCCAGGAGCCCACGAAAGTGCCGACAGTTGCGCAAGATCGCAGGAGGCGACAGATGTGCAGATCGCAGCCCCCCAGAGGGCGCCGCGAGGAGGAGGTAGGAGGCAGGAGGGAAGGGCGGGAGGACGGAGCGACCAGAGTGCTCTATTCAAAACGAGTGCCCAACCAAGGGAGGGTTGGGAATAAGAAGAAGAAAAAGAAGAAGAAGAAGAAGAAGAAGAAGAGGAGGAGGAGGAGGAAGAGGAGGAGGGGGAAGAAGAGGAGGAAGAGGGGGAGGGGGAGGGGGGAGGGGGAGGAGGATCTGCAGGAGCAGGAGGAGGAGGAGGAGGAGGAGGGGGAGGAGGAGCAGGGGTGGATAGTTCGGCGGGGGCCATGACATCTCCCCAGACTTCGCAGCGCCTCCCCTTGCCTCAATGCGCCCCCCTGGCCTACCCCCCCACACCCTGTTCCCCGGGCCGCGCACGTGCCGTTCGCCCGGATTTGCGCCCCCCCTTCTTTGACGCCCCCCTCCTGCTGCAGGAGGGGGGCGTCAAAGAGCTGGCGGGCCTCGATCCGGCGGGTCCGGGGGATTCGGGGGCGTGCGAGAGTCTTGCAAGCAGTTGCGAAGCGTCTTGGCGCGACGATAGCCCTGCCCAGACAATGTGCTAAGAACCTTTCTTGTGGCTTCCACGAGCGGTTTTTGGAACAGTTCTGCCTGGGACTGTCTTGTGCTCTCATGCATCGGCTTTCTGCTCTTAGAGCTCTGCTGCTTTTGCTCTTGCAGCAATTCATTTCAGCGAGCGAAGAACGGTATAACATATAAACTTGTTCGCTGTCGGGGACGCCTGTCCCTGGGCGGCTGGAGAGTTTATACCCCGACGGTGCCACCGTAAGGGTACAAACTTTCCAGCCGCCCAGGGACAGGCGCCCCCGACAGCGAAAAAGTTTATTTTATACGCCAGATTTCGTAATAAAAGGAAGGGGGTCTGGACCCTCCAAGACAAGCCATTTCAGACCTCCCCCGTGAGAGAACCCTCCAAAACATCGTCCCCAGACCCCCCAGGCCCTCCAAGATAGCCTGGAAGAGACCCCCCCCGAAATGAGTATGGAGTATCTTCGCCCGTTAAGCCTTGCTGGGTTCCCATGAGAACATGCCGCGGTGGGCCTGCAGGAATGCCGGGGCGGTCAGCCCCCTGCTCGAGCCCTGCACGCCCACCGCCTCCCCAGGGCCCGCCGGCTCGGGGCCCCTGCTCTCGTGGGGCTATCCCGGCCAGACTTCGCGCCGCTCCCGGCCTCCTGATTTCCTGGTAGTCCCCAAACGTGGTGGTGACAACACCTGGCGGTGAGTCTCGGGCGATTTGGTGTCACCACCCGGTTTGGGGACTCGTGCGGTTTTCCGAGGATGTCCCGGACACTGGTGGGTCCAGGAGTCACAAAAACCCGGTGGTGACCCCGCGTCCCCAAACCCAGCGGTGACCTTTTTGGGGATTCCAGGTCGCCACCTGGTATCTCACCACCCGGTTTGGGGGTTCCCAAATCACCGAGCGCGCTGCACCACTCTCGGGGGCGGAAAAGAGGGGGGTGATGACTAGGGGGGGGTGGATGTCATGGCGTGGGCCATAATTTTTCCCCCGATTTCATTGCGCCTCTTCTTATTTCATTACGTCCCTGGCCCCCCCGCTGGGCCGCGCACATGCCGCCGGTCACGATTTGCACCCCCCCCTCTTGGACGCCCCCCTCTTTGCCGCCCCCGACACTCGCGAAGTGCCTACTCGCAAACGTCTGAAAACTGCAGGCCTCGGATCAAATCAGCGAGCACTCATGCCACATTCATCCGTCAACGCCTCCCCCTCCCCCCAATGTTCAAAGTTGGCGGTGGGTCTGACGAGATGCACTTCGACCGTAGTCTCCCCCGCGCGTGCCAACGTTGAGTTTGGGGGGAGGGGGAGTGTTCAGTAATTGTTTCCCTCTACCGCAGCACGTTCGCCTCGATGTGAGTTATCGCAAATCCTCCACAGCTGGTCCAGGCCATTTGCGAGCAGTGACGTCGCGAGCAGTGGAACGCGCTTGCCCATCCTTGCCGAGGATGCATCTCCTGGGAGGTCGAACTCTGCCTCGGCGTCGGTGAGTCTGCGGTCGGAAGCCTGCCAGGTCTGGCGCATCCCACGCAGCCCAGCTGTCGGGGCGGATCCCGCTCCGCGGCCCTTCGATCGGGAGAGCCCTTAGTCGTTCCTACGATTATGATGTCCCAACCTACCTTAGCCTTGTTCACCATAAAGAATTTCGAGCACCAGAAAAACGTGCCGAAACTCGAGGGTTTTCACGTGTCGGGCCCTGGGAGACTCGCCCGACACTGTTTCGACACTCTTTTGATACTTTTCCGGGTGCTCGAAATCATTTCTGGGATGCGGTCCTTGAGTAAGATGCGAACAACATAATCCTACGAAGGCCTTCCAGAACCGAGGAAGAACTATCTGCATAAACATGAATTGTCGGAGGTCCGCGCGGATTTCCTGGATCGGCGCTGAGCTCCCTCCCCGGCGCATTCCGCGTGCCCGGGGCGACGCTGCCGGCGCCGCCCCTGGCGCGCGGAACGCGGATCCAGTTCAGGGGTCCCAGTTCAGATCCAGTTCAGATTCAGTTCAGTTCGGATTCAGTTCGGAACGCGGATCCAGTTCAGACCCAGTTCGGAGCGGCGCCGCCAGGGGTCCCAGTTCAGATCCAAGGAGTCCGCGCGCAGCCTCGAGCGCTCGTGTTCGCGCCGGTTCCTCTCCTGCAGGAGCTGCGCCTCCGCACAAGAATGCTGCCCGGAGAGGGGGGCGGCGGGCCGAGGCAAGACGCCGCGCCCTCCAAAGGACGGGCAACCCCGCCGGGGACGCGACATCAGCGTCTGCCTGTTCTGGGCCGTTTTGCCCAGAGGTGGTTCGGGCCGAACGAAAGAGAGGGATTGGGAAAGGGGGGGATACGAAATCTGCTGCATGCAGCTGGTTTCGGCCCCACCGAGGGGCCCATTCCTCGATACATAGCCGCCTCCGGCGCTGGGAGGCGCCGGGAAAATCAGCTACGTGAGCTGATTCTCAAACCCCCCCTTTGCTATTCCCCCCTTTCGCCCGGCCCGAGTTGTTCACTCGCGAAATTCGCCCGCGGAACTCATCATGCGATTTCAAGTGGCTTCAAGCCTTCAACGATGACTCGAGAGTACTATTGCGATCGGTTCTTGCAGTGCTATGAAGAGACCTGGAGTGACACACTGACATTCGGAGCGTCAGGATAGCACCTCGAGTGTTCTAATGAATGGCGTGGCAACTCTGTATAGCATGATACACATGCGCTGAGAACAGCACCGAGCGGCTCTCGCCCACCACCACCTGCCCCCGCCCCCACCGCGAGCAGCCGCTCCGAGCCTTCCAGCTGAGCCTTGGCGCCCGGGGCAGGCGAGCCCTTCAGCGCCTTCTGCCACGACTCCGTCATCCAGGCCTGCGCCCACGCCGGCCAGCTCCACCGGGCGCGCTCCCCGCCGGCGACGCCCCCCGCCCGCCGCGCTCCGCAGAGGGCCCCCCCGTTGGTGGGTGGGCGGCGCCGCCGCGAGGCGCCTCCCGGGCCGAGGACCGAGCTGCCGCGAGGCCCCTCGCGGGCCTTTCGCAGTTTTGAGCTTCGAGGAGGAGGAGGAGGAGGAGGAGGAGGAGGAGGAGGAGGAGGTGGTGTCCGTGGGCCCTGGCCTCCCGACCGTGGTCTCCGGTGGCACGAGGCGCCGCGCCGGTCCCCGGGCGACGCAGCCGGACAGACGCGGGGCGGGAGGCATGCCGGCTGAACAAAAGCCTTGGGATCTTCCTGCCGGGCCCCCGCCTTCGGGCCCGGCCCGAGCCAGGCTTCTCATGGCCCCCCGGGGGCCCGAGAGCGGCCACCGTGGGCCGCCGCACGGGCAGACCTGCCAGCAAGGAGATCAGATCGGCGGACACCTCGGAGCCGTCCTGGGCCCCTCTCATTCGAGCTCCTCCTCCGCCTGCTCCTCCTCCTCCTCCTTCTCCTCCTCCTCCGCCTCCTCCTCCTCCTCCTCCTCCGCCTCCTCCTCCTCCTCTTTCTCCTCCCCTCCCCCCTCCTCCTCCCTCCTCTCCTCCTCCCCTCCTCCTCCTCCATCCTCCCTCCTCCTCCTCCTCCTCCTCTTCCTCTTCCTCCTCCTCCTCCTCCTCCTCCTCCTCCTCCTCCTCCTCCTCCTGTATTCACATCATGGGGTGAGGAAAGGGGTGCGAGGTGCAAACGTGCAAAGCGGCGCAGCGCAGCGGGAGCGGGCGGGTGCAGGTCGGGAGGAGGAGGCGGCAGCGGCGCGCTGTGCACAAGGTTGGGTGCCCTGGGCGTGCGACAGCGCGAGCAGGGTGAGCGCGAGAGGTGGGAAACAAGTGTGCACGTGGGAAGGGGAGGTGGCCCGAGCGGGGCCTCCAGCCCCCCGAGGGAAGGGTGAGGGCGATCCCTCAGCATGGCTCTCAGTTGTCCGCCACCTGGTCCACTGCCGCCGTGAGGGCTGTACCCCCTCCTAGGCGGCCAGTGCCGAATGCGGCGCCGTCTGGTCTCCCCTCCTCGCCTGCAGACGTTCTGGCCCCTCCCTCTGTCCAGGTGCCATCGGCGGAGGAAAGGGGTGAAGGCTAGCGGGCGAAAGGCTGGGGGGAGGGCGCTGGCAGGAAGAACGGGAGCAGGAGGTGCTAGGTTGGGTGGTGGCCTGAGGTGCTTCCGAGAAGGTGGAAGGCAGGAGGCGGGGTGCAGGCAGGCCAGGGCTCCCAAGGCGAGGTCGATGCTCGCAGTGCTCAGGCCAAGCGTTTTTCCCTCTGCCCCCCCTCCCCAGGGCTGGACCTAACGGTGTTTTTGGCGATCTCATGGGCCGTTTTCGTTTCGACTTCGTTTTGCCGTAAAGGCGGATTCGAGACAAAGGCCAGGGACAACGAAAACAAAACGGAAACGACAAACATTGTTTAGGTTCAGCCCTGCCCCTCCCCCCTCCGCAGATCTGGCGCGTCCGGCATGCCCCCGAGGCGCAGGTTCATGCCCCGCACGCTCGCGGAGTGCCGGCGGGCGCTTGGGGAAGTGGACGACCCGGGCCTCGGCGCAGCGCTGATGGATACCCCGGCTGGCGATGGAGGGCCCCACGCGCTGCTGTCGAAGCCCAAGCCTGGCGACTGGCTCGACAGCCGCGAGGAGCTGGGGCAGAGCTTCCCCCAGTACGCTAAGCGGATGGGCCCGAGGGGGGGGCAGGTGTTGCCGCGCCAAGGCTGCGACGGTCTCCTCGTTTGTCCGGTCGGCTCGTCGTTCTCGGAGGGGGTCGGTGCGCTGTTCATGCCGCATTTGCTGCGGTTCTATGCTGCGTTCTTCCCCGGCATGACGGTCGAGGTGCTCGAGAAGCCGTTGTCGTTGAGCGGCGTTCGGAGCCGCGAGAACGACTTCAAGCACAGGCAATACCTCATCGGCGACGTGTTCACAATGCTGCACACGCACAAGGATCAGACGATCGCACACATGGATTAAGGGGGCGTGGATTATCGAGGGGTACCGTTTCCACGGGAAATTGTTGATTTCCGCCGCCGAACGAGGCGGCAGCGGCCGCATTTTTGGGAGGGCGCCTCCCCCGATCCATGGATTTGGCGATCGCGCGCCAAATCCATGGATCGCTAATCCATGTTTGCGCGCCCCCGAAAGGACGTGGTGTCCCGACGCAGCGCGTACACCCGCCTCGCAATCACGCTCGAAGATATCCAGTGGCCTTCGGTCCAGTCGCCGCCGCGCCTGGATTGCGGGCCCTTGGATGCCAGTTGGGGTCTCTGCGAATACTTCCTGCCGGGGAACACATGAGGACACACACAAGAACTTGAGCTCCACCAGCGCTGGAGCCTCCCGGCCTGGCGGCGCCTCGGGCGCCGCCCCTGGTGCGCTCCGCGCGCCAGGGAGGGGGGGCCATCGCAGATCCCAAAGTCTACTTGTTTATGCAGTGTTGGGTTGCTCGGTGGATGTCTGTCGGGGTCTCTGTGAATGCGTCTCGGGGCACCCCTTGACGGTCTCAGGGCCATCTCGACGCAGCAGGGCTCGCTTGGCCAGTTCGGGTTCCCCCCTCGGTCCAAAGCAATCCAATCACAACATGTGTCTCTTTTATTCGCGGCCTCGGGACAGGTCGCGCGAGCCATGCCCCTGCGAACAGGGCGTCGGCGAACGGGGCGGCAGCTACGGGGGACTTCAAGCGAGAACGGGGCGACGGGGCATTTACCTCGCACTAGTGCGTGATACATCGGGGCGGCAAAACCGTAGCTACATCATGACAACTCTGGGCGGGGAGGGGGCGGCACCTCGCAGTTGTGCGCGGCACACCATGTTTTGAAGCACCATTGAAACACACTCCCTTCGCTGCCCGCCCGTTTACTATCGCCCTGTTTGCAGAGGTCTGGGCGGGAGGCCCCAGAGTCGCGCGGGAAAAGAAGGCTTTCAAGAGGTTTATATTCGGAGTGCCCAAGAGAATCGGAGGGACTTGGAGACACTCCACGCAGTGCCCACCCCAGAGATCGGAAGCTCCGAAGACAATTGGAGCGGCCGGTTTGGGGCACTGTTCAGCTCGAAGGACTCTCAACGTGCCCCGTGGCCCGCAGACAATTGAGTGAGAAGCAGGTCTCAGGGTATGGGTCGCCACATCTGAGGCCCGACGTCCTGCAAAAATCACGACGTCGGGGGTCTGTGGACACTCCGTGCAGTGTTCACCAGGGCTGGACCCAAACGCCGTTTTGCTGGACTTCGGCTGTGTTCTGTTCTTCGTTTTGGCAGGGATGTACAGGACAACGGGTAGAGCAAAACGAAGAGCAACTCAACAAAAAGAAAACAGCGTTCAGATCCAGCCCTGGTGCCCACAGCACGGCGGCGGATATACCCCGGGGATGAGTGGAACTACGTCTTCGGGCAGGCGCGCCCCATGGAGAGGGTCGCCGTTTTCTCGTTCGCCAGGCACTCGCCCGTGTTCTACCAGGGTGTGCACGCGACGGAGGCGATGGACTCGGTGCCTCCGCCGGCGCTTCTGGACTGGCTGGGCACCTGCCGCAAGACCATGGTGCACGAGACCTGCCACATTCGGCGGCGCGCCGAGGGGGAAGCTTGGGAGTTGCGGGTTCGAGGCTCGCCGGTTGTCGGCGGTTGCCCATCTTCGAGATGTGTGCGCCTCGCCGGGAGCGCTGTGGGAGTCCCCAGACCGTCCCGAGCGGCCGCGCGGAGGCCAGAGGCATGACCCCCAGACAAAGTTTCCCTTCGGCGGCACGGGCGGCGAGGCTTTTCCGAAGCCCTCTGTCCTTCGGAGAAGCCTGTCGCGTCTTCGGAGGAGGCTCCAGACCCACACGTGCTCGCGTCGTGAAAAGTCAGGACGGGAGGTCTTTGGCAATGTTCGGCCTCTCGGGGCCCTCACCAGGCCCCGTGGCCGTCAACAAAACGGCTCACAGGACGAGAAATTGGCCCTGGGGAAAGGGTCGGGACTTCCGGGGACCGCGTGTTGAAACCGTGAGGACGTCGCACGTCAGGGGAAGTCGGCCACGCGCAGAGGGGGGTAGGGGGAGGGGGGAAGGCTTCTTAGAAGCACCCCTGCTTCTTAGACGGCGCGGGCCTTCTTTGAAGATGTAAGGCCGGCGCCTTTTACGAAGCAGCCCCCCTGCTAAGACGCCTTCCCCCCTCCCCCTGCCCCCTCCGGCGCGCCGCCGGGAAGGCTCTCCCCTTCTGCCCTGCGGCGTTCGGGGGAGGCCGAAGGCCCTCTGGGCCTGGGGCCCGCCCCCCGTCTGTCTTCCCTTCTGATCAGGGGCGGAAAAGAGGGGGGGTGATGACTAGGGGGGGGTGGATATCATGGCGTGGGCCATGATATCTCCCCAGATTTCGTGGCGCCTCTTCTTATTTTATTACGTCCCTGGCCCCCCCGCTGGGCCGCGCACATGCCGCCAGTCATGATTTGCACCCCCCCCTCGTGGACACCCCCCTCTTGGCCGCTCCCGATCTGAGCGCGCCGCCCGCACGTGTTCGGCATCCTGCACTGCGCGTACTGGCACTGCCTCATGAACGGCAGCAACGGCCCCGGCGATCACTGCGCACCAAGCGTGTCGCTGGGGCTGCGTATTGCCAAGCGTGCCGCTGGGGCTGCGTGTTCCCCCGGAACGTTATGGACTTCCCAAGGAAATCCCATGGAATTCCTGAGAAATCCGATGGATGTCCTGAAGAAGCCGACGGAGGTCGTAAGGATTCCCGAAGGGACCCAGTGGCGCTCAAACCCAACCCGAAGGTCCCAAGTTGCCCTCGCTCCAAGTGGAGGGGAGGGGGGGACATCCCGGAACATCTGGACAAAAAAGAACAGGTGGGGCCCCTTGCGCCCCCGCAGCCCGAAGCTTGGGACTTCGGGTGGGTTGGGGTGACCTGGTGTTCCTCAGGCGACTCCGCGGGCGCCCCGTTCCTGTGCCCGGTGTGCCTGCGCAAGGTGCTGCACGGCCTCGCCGGGGTGAGCGGGCCCCCGAGCCTGGGGGCGCTGTGCGAGAGGTACGCCCGGATGGAGGAGGCGCTCAGGGCACTCGCCGAGGATATGGGGCCACACGCGAACCCTACCCCTACCCCCACGATTTCTGAGGGGGAGGGTGGGGTTCATTTCGTTTGGGAGCTCCCGAGCGAAGTGAACCCCACCCTCCCCCTCAGAAATCGTGGGGGGTAGGGGTAGGGTTCGCGTGTGGCCCCCTAGAGGAGATGGACCCCGCGGGGGGCTCCCGCGCGCTGGGGCGAGACATAGATCCGAGGCCTGGCCTCCGTCTCTCGCCGCCGCCTCCCACAGCGAGCCGAGGCTAACACGGCAGCGGCCGGCTCTGGGGCCGCCCTCGGCCCCTGGGGGGGGCCCTCCGTGCACGAGGCCGTCGAGAGCCGCCCTCGCCCTCCTCCTCCTCCTCGTCCTCCTCCTCCTCCTCGTCCTCCTCCTCCTCCTCCTCGTCCTCCTCCTCGTCCTCCTCCTCCGCCTCCTCTTCCGCCTCAGGACCCACGCGCCGAGAGCAGAGACGGAGCGCCGCGGATGTCCAGGGTCTGCGGGCGGGCGTCACGGGCCCTCGCGGAGGCAGTGTGAAATCGGGCTTGCCCCCCCTGCAGGAGGACTATTGAAAAACGATGGAAAAGATAAGCTGGGGACGATTGGTTGAGCATCTTCTGATCACTTCCCAGCGGCTAACATACGTCGTGGTATTGAATGCACGCGCAGTCGGAAAACGAGTGATTGGTCAGCGAGAAACGTTTAGTAAACGCAAGAACCAGTTTACGAAATCCCAAGACGGATGTTCTAAGTGGGGGGCCGTTTCCCAAAATCCCAGGTCCTATCATGACCATGACCTGAGTGGCCCGATCGCATATATATATATATATATATATATATACACACGTATATTTGTCGTCACATAACTACAAATGTGTTCCTATATATATATATATATGTTTATGTGTGTGTCGTCACATATCCGCCTGCAGAAGGACATGCCCGACCCAAAGGTCGTGGGCGGGAACAGCTAGGCCGCTGCCCCTTCCCCAGGGGGCGGGGGCGGGGCGGGGGCGCGAAGGTGATCGCCGGTGGCGCCTCGCGGGGCGCCTGGGCGCCGCGGCGCGAAGTCCGGCGGCTCAGGGGCAGTTTGGGGTCCCAACGATCCAAAGACGCAGTACTTCTCCTCCTCCTCCTCCTCCTCCTCCTCCTCCTCCTCCTTCCCCTCCTCCTCCTGCTTCTCCTCCTCCTCGTCCTCCTCCTCCTTCCCATCCTCCTGCTCCTCCTCTTCCTGCACCTCCCGGGCGTGGATTAGCGACGGGTCCCCTTTACATGCGAAGTCTCGGGTTTTCGCCGCCGAAGGAGGCGGCGGCACTGGCCGCATTCTGGGGAGGGCACCGCCCCCGAGCCATGAATCGCTGATCCATGCTTGCGCGCCCCGGTTTGGAGCGGCTTGTTCTTTGGTGCTCTTTGCCTTCCGGGTGCCCTCCTCGGGCCACGGGGCCGTCAACAAAAAGTCGATGCAGGACGGGAGGCTGGGGAGGTGATCCGGACCTCCAGGGGTCCAGGCATGCAACTTGATGCGCTGGACGTCTGGGGATTATGCTCTTGATCCTCTGGCGCAGCACGGTCGTTATCGGGGCCACCCCCTCTGCCGGATGACAGTAACGATCGTACGTAGGTGTGGGGGGAGACCCCCCCCATATGCTGGTGCTCGCGCGCATGCTATCGCGATCGCAGCGCACACCCGCCCCGACGTGCATGCACCACCCCGCCCAAGCGGTGCCGATACCCGACCCCCCCTTTCCCGGCAACGACCGTTACAGGAAGTAATCAAACAGACAGTCTCGAGGGGGCCACGACTGCATCCCGAGGCAGTGGGAGGCCGCGCCCCAGAGCGGCGGCTCACTATCGTTGCACCGATTCCCATTTCCGCCCGGCCGTGGTGTCTGGGGGGTGACTCGGCCGGTGGGACCGAGCCCACGACAGTGGGGGGAGAGGGATCCGAGAAACGACGCCCAGCGGCGGTGGCTACGAGCCCTGGCCTCGGAGCAGACTGGCTCGCTGCCAGGCGCTCGCGGCTGCAGGAGCTCCGCGACTGCCCGCCGCCGCCCCCGCCGGCGGCCGAGCCGCCTCCGCCCCGCGGGCGGCCCTGCAGCCCCGCAGCCGCACCGCCGCGCGCGGGCGCCACTGCGCTCGCGCGCGGCGGCGCGCCGCGGCGACCGCCGCGCGCGCGCCGGGGCCGCGGCAGGCGCGAGCCGCAGCGGCCAGAGTCGCCTCGCAGCCCGCGGCGGCGGCGCGGCGCCTGGCCGCGCCGGAGGAGCGGAGGCTGCTGGTGGGCTCGCTGTGCACCACCACCACCATGAGTTGGAGGGGGGAGGGAGGAGGAGGACGAGGAGGAGGACGAAGAGGAGGAGGAGGTGGAGGGGGAGGAGGAGGAGGAGGAGGAGGACCCCCTCCCCCTCCTACTTATGGTGGTGGCGGTGGAAAGCAGGCCCACCAGAGGCTGCCGGTGTGGCGCCCCGAGCTCGTGGTGGCGGGCGCCTGATCGGCCCCTCGGGGCCCGCGGGCGCGTTGCAGTGCATCTTCGGGAGCCTTGAGAGATGGGGGTCATGGCAAGCGGGGGTCAGCCAGAGCGCCGGATCTTGCAGGATCCTGCAGGGCCAGGGGTGCACTGACTCGGACCAGCGCGCAGGGTGCTGCAGGCTGCAGGATCCTGCGAAGCCTGACTCACCTGGGTTTGGGTTGACACGGGCCAGTAAACTGTTGTAATTTTCGGGGGAGTTTGCTTGTCCTGGGAATTGTTGTCTTCCCTTCTACCCGACGCGGGTTAGACGCGGATTCGGCGACGTGAAGTCGGCACGGATTCGACGTTGATTCCACGCAGACCTTGCGAGTTCGACGGGGATGTGACATGGACAGCGGCGCGATTGGACAGAGAAGGCCCTCCGACGCAACGCATAGGTGTGGCGTCACCGACAGCTTCGGGCCTCGCAAGGCGCCCGCTCGAGCTTCGGGGCTCACGTAACAGGGGTCAGCGCTAACGGTAGGGGGCCGCATGTGACCCCCCACGGATTCTGAGGGGGAGGGGTAGGGTTCGCATGCGGCCCCCTAAACGGGGGTCAGCCTAGCCGCGCCCCTCTGGCCGAGTCGCGGGGCGGACCCTGCCAACGGGCCTTCCTCCGGCCCAGGCTTGGGACCCAGACATTTGGCGCTCAAATCTTGTCGATGCGTGGGCCCCTGGAGGTCTCCACCACTTCACCAGGGCTCGGAGGTGGACAGACCTCCTACCCTGACACGTCGATTAAGGAATTGGCCGTTTTTGGTCCGCGAGAGGGCGTCGCGGCCGTCTTTTTTGCGGGTCCAGGTCCGTCGGTTTCGGTCCCAGGCCGTTTTCGCTAAGGGGAGGTTTACTAAAGGGCCAGTTTCTCGTCCTGGGTAGTGTTCAACGGTCCCGGGCCGTGTTGAAGGCCCCCAGAGGTCGAACATGGCCCAAGATGGGCCGCTCGAATGCGTTCGGGGAGCTGCGCGGTTTACGGTCCTCGAGAGCAAGATAGCTCTTGCCCCCTAGCCCTGATCACACGGATACCACACCCGGGCGGTCTGGTTTGGCACATCAGCAGAACAGACACTTCGTTTCCTGATCTTTGCGGCCCTTCTCCTGACTTCGGCCCCCCCCCTAAACTGGCTAGGGGCAGGGGCCCTCTTTTTGCTACTCACGATGGACACGGCCTTCTCGGCGGACCTGGGCCGGTGCCGACCGGGGCCCGTGCCGCCCGGACAGCTCGCGGCGGCGGGCTCCAGGAGGGCCCGCGGGCGCAGGCCCGCGCGGCCGGGCAGAGCTCAGGGCCGGGTCTCCGACGAGACGTTCAGAGATCCGAGTAGGGGCCGCATGCGAGCCCTGCCCCTACCCCCCACGAGTTCTGAGGGGGAGGGGGGGGTTCACATCGTTCGGGAGCTCCCGAGCGAAGTGAACCCCCCCTCCCCCTCAGAACTCGTGGGGGGTAGGGGCAGGGCTCGCATGTGGCCCCCTACCGAGGCTCCGACGGAGATCGGAGCGGCCAGTTGTTGGCTCTTCTCGGCCTCCAGCGGCCCTCAGCGGCCGTCAGCTGGTGGGGCCCAAGTTCCAGATGGCAGGGCGCCAGAAGGGTAGGGAGAGGCCTGTCGAAGAGCCTTGGGAGGACCCGCAGAGTGCAATGGCCCCGCTGAGAACCACTGCCCTGATATGAGTCCTGATGTGTACTTCTCTCCTGTCTTTTTTGACGACGTCCGATTTTCCTCGATATAGGTGTACACGTGGTCGGGCAGTGTAGGGCGATGCTGATCACACGCTGGTCCAGGAATGGAGCTGTTTTTCTATGTTGCGGGCCAGCTCGCAATCCTGTGCCTCTCGGGCGCGCACCAGAAGTCCAGCGACTCTCTGTCGCTGCGAAGGCTTGAGCCAAGACGGTTTCGGTGGAAACGTCTTTGGGAACGTGCGGAACGCTTATAATGAGCCTCTGGGGCTCGGGGCTCTTCGAGGGCCCTCGGGGAGGCCATTAAGCATGGCTAGGCTGCAAATAGAGTTGTAGGAAGCACGATACGCCGTGAAACGCAGACTTCCATGAGACGGGGCTCCTGTGGAGCCTGACTGCACATATGAGCTCACACTCGGCCTCTAGAGGCCATCCGTCGCAAGCAGGCTCTAGTCAGGCAGGCTCTGGGCTGTGAGTTGCACAGAGAGCTTCCGAAGGACCTGGAGAGCTTCCGGGCACGCGTACTGGGAAACTCTTAGAAAATGCCTCTCGGGACACGCTGCGACCTTACAGGTCGCTGCGACGTTGGAAAACGGAAGCCGTGACGATCTCTGGGGCTACCCTGCGGCTCCGGCTTCTGAATCTGAAACCATCTCAGAGAGCTGTGCAGGAACAAGGAAAACCGATTTTGGGGGGAGAAACCGGCCTTGGGGAGGTGGTCCAGACCTCCAGGGGCCCACGCATCGAAAAGATTGGAGCGCCGGATGTATTGCAAGAGGAGTGGTCCTGGAGGTCTTGTGCGGGACGTCTTGTGCGGTCTTGTGTTGGGCTCTTGTGTTGGGCTCTTGTGTTGGGCTCTGGGAGTCGATTCGCGTTCTCTTGTTTGAGCCTTGCCCTCTGAAGACTGCGGTTTTCAGTGAACAGTGGGCGTGGCCCGCGCGGCCAGGGAGACGCGCCAACGTTACACGTCGGGTTTTCCCCGATATCGGCCTTCGCGGGGGCTTGCAATCGGACCTGGGAACCACTAGACGTAAATCGGGGACGAAGAATTCGTCCCCCTGGGGGAGCGGTCGGGAGCTTTGGCCGTTGGCCCCCAAACGGGGTGGTGACCACACCGTGTGGTGAGTCGGTGGGGATTCGGGGTCACCGCACGGTTTTGGGGCTTGTGTCGTTCTCTGAAGATGCCTGGGGCCTCCAGTGTCCCAGTTTTGCGTGGTAACGGACTCTGCGGTGAGGTCTTTGCGGATTTCGAGGTCACCGCCGGGTCTGTTTCCACACGGGTTTGGGACCCCAAGTTTTGGGGCCGCGGATTGGGAAAATCAGATCGGTGGATGTCTGGGGAGGGTGAGTCTTGTTCCCGAATGCTTCTTCGTCTGCTTCGGGGCGCAGCGTGCGTGTGCTTCCGGGCCGCCGCTGCAGTAGTGGAGTGTTGGCGCTGGCCGCAGCCGTGTACAGGGCGGCACCCTTCGTGATCCCCCGCTTTGGGGCGATCATGCTCCTACGCCAGGCGGGGAAATAGGCTTCAGCGGAGCGGTCATTGCAACATTGCGCGTCCTGCGCTATCTTCAGCCATGCACGTGCGTTGTGCTACCATTCGTCGAGTCGCGTTCTGTTTAAGCATTCCATGCCGTTGTGTGGAGGAGCCGAGCGGACATAATGTGCCAGAAGCGAAGGTTTGGAAGTTTCACAGTTGTGTCCTAGGATGCGACTTATGCCCGTCACGCGCGAGTGGCACAACGTTCTTGCTGAAATGCCGCATTCTAAGGCAGAGCATTGGTTGAAGGAGGCCCTCAAGCACGGTGGCAGCTTGAACCCGAACTCCTTCACCAGCCTCATTTCCAGGTGCGATCTGTGGGCTGCGAGAGCAATTGGACTCCCGCCTTCGCCGCCCTCTTTGTTTTCCAGCAGCCGACATCGGGCAGTGCCTCGAGTCCCCGACGATGATAATGGCAACGTTAACGATGGCGACATTGATGATGATGGCATTGGCGACGATGACGATGGCTGTGATCGTGATGGCGTCGATGGCGAAGATGAGCGACCGGGACAAACAATATTGGTGTATGTAGATGTGTGTCTACCTGCCGAGCTTGCTGCGCAGGATAATTGACGATTGGGCATTCTTCAAGTGCGTCTTATGCTTATGTGACATATGTGTATGCGCCTCCAGATGCACATTCGCACGAAGCCGATGCGTTGAAACGGTATTGTTGAAATGGAGACGGTGTTTCTTTGGGAAGGCAATGGATTTCTGCTCTTCAGTACCAGGCTACTGGGAGCTGAATTCTGGCAACCTGTTGGCCAGACACATGGTCTTCTCACGGGCATCTGGTTGCAACAAAAGGGACGCTGCCAGCAAATTGTCGGTAATGTGGCTTCGGCTGTATTACTGTTCGGAGTTCACGATTTGTTAAGATTATCGGATTCGTTCCACCCAATTCTCGTCCTTCTCCATTGGTTGTCCCCTCGTTTGTCGCGTCCATGAATCTGGAAACCGTTTTCTCCGCTCTATTCGTTATCGCGTCCATTACTGAACACCCTTTGCGGGTCAAATGTTGCCCCCCCCCACCCACACAGCCCCTTCCTGGGGGTCGCTCAAGTCGCAATCCCGTCGCAGGGCGCATTCTAAGCGTGCCCGTTCCAGGCTGGTCCCCCTTCCCCCCCTCTGCCTACTCCCCGTGCCATTCGTGTGCTTTGCTGGGGTAACTCTTTTCCTCTTTTCTGACGCACTGCAACGGCAGTCACGATCACCTTGAGGGAGGGCTGATTGTTCCTGCCAGCGCCCGCGGATGAATCGGTGGCTTCGGGTCCGTCGGCTTGGCAGCGTCTGCAGGCCTTCTTAGGGGGTATCTTGGATCTGCTAGAGGCGACCGTTAGGGGAACGAAAAATTGCGTAAACATAAGAATTCGGAGGTCCGCGCGGATTTATCGGATCGGCGCTGTACCCCCCTGGCAGCGCCTCCGGCGCCGCCCGTGGCGCGCTTAGTTCGCCAGGGAGGGGGTCCAGCGCGGATCCGAGAAATCCGCGCCGTCCTTTGAGTTTTTTGTTGTTCATATCATTCTTCGTTCCCCTAACCCTGGGCCCTTCTGCATTCCATCTTGGGGCATTCCGGGGCCACCTTTGGGCCACCTCGGGGCCCCTGGTGGGCATCTTGAGCCCTCAGCCGATTTTGAGCCGTGCTGATGGGAGACCGACGCCGACCGCCGACCCAAGAGATCCTCGCGGACCTCCGGTGGTGTAGGGTGTTCGGGCGTGGCCAGGAGGAGGATAAATCAGTTCCAGAGCGTTCCGGAACGCTCTCAGAGCGTTCGAGAACGCTCTGAGAAGGCCGCGGCGCCGAAGACATATTCCACAGCCGCCGGATCTCAGAGATTCTCGATTCATTATCACCCGATGTTATCCTCGTTTTGGCTTCGTCTCAGGTTTGTGTAGCTGTTGGTCTTCGGTTGGAGGGTGGAGGAGGTCGAGCTGGAGCATCAGGTCGAGCGAAAGGGGTGGGGACAGAGAAAGGGGCGGGTTACGACAGCTCCAAGAGGCCTCCCAAGAGGCAAGCAACATTGGTTTCCACAGTTCTTTCCTGGTTCAAGCGATTTTGGTGTTCTTGCCCTTTCGACTTCCCGACGCTCCAGGACGGCCCAAGAGACCCCAAAGATCGCCCCAAGACGGCCCAAGAGGCCTCCAGGAGGGTTCCGAAGCGGCTCTCCATACATGCTGGCGATCTTCAGGACGTGTCTTGGCCCAAAGTTGTGTTCACCCCGTTCGGCTCCGCCGATAGCGCGCAGCCTGTGCCCGCTCTCGTTGAGCCGCCCGCGTCGTGTTGAAACGGCCTCGGTGGACAAGCGCGCGTTGGCGCTACAGTCGGGGCCCTGAAGAAGGAACCCTTTTCGTTGGGGAGGGGCTCCGTGTTCCTTGATTGCTTCACAGTTTGCCTTGTGTTCAACTTGTGGATAGAAGGGGCCTCGTTCCTTATTTCGGGTTCCTTGGGTCAACGCTCCGACTGTAGCTCACGCTCGGCGGAGCGTTGAACATGGGCGCCTCCAGGGCCAGGAGGCGTCGGGGCAGCCCTCCGCGTGAGCTGTTTCGCTGCCGCCCCCCTGGTGGCCCCTCCCGGGAGACCGACCCGAGAGGAGGAGGGGGAGAGAAGCGATTGGCATGAGGTCGGGCATGTCCCCCTACAGGCGGAGCTTGAACGAAAAAGTGCAAGATACTCAAAACATATTCCAAGATTGTCCAAAGATACTCGAAACATCGCCCCCAGATGTTTGTCTAAAAAAACTATGTTTGAATATTCCCCCTGTAGAGGGACGGGCCCGACTTGGGACTGGCAGGTGCGCGCGCAGCGGCGAACTCGACAAGGCCGCGCAGTGGCTCGCCGAGATGGAGAAGCACACGGCGGTGCCGGTGCGCGGCGGGGGCTCTGCTCCCTCTTCGGGGGGGGGTGGCTTGGCATCGCTCGGACGTGTGTGTTTGTTTCACGGCGAGGACCCTTGAGGAACATCCTGGACCATCGAGCGAAAAAAACACTGACAAAACCGAACAATGCACGGGAAATGGACGTCCGAGCGACGGCAAGGGGGGGGGCTCTTCCGGATCCCCCTCTCGCCAGTGCACCGGCGCCACCTGTCGGGGGGTGATGACTAAGGGGGAGGATACAGCCAGCACGCTGAAATCAGGAACAGTCTGGATTCGGAAAGGGGCTCGATGTTCCTCACGTCCTTCCGTGGTTGTTCCTCTGGCCCTTCTCGTGCACCCAGGCTTTTTTGAAGCCACAGGGGGGCTTCGTTCCTTATTTGGCGTTCCTTCTTTCAGCAGCCCGACTGTAGGGGGGTGGATATTATTAGGAGGCCTCATGCGAACCCTACCCCACCCTCCCCCTCAGAAATCGTGGGGGGTAGGGGTAGGGTTCGCATTTGGACCCCTAACCATGGCGTGGGCAACGAGGTTTCCCCAGATTTCGTGGCGCCTCTCCTCCTTTCATGATGTTCCTGGCCCCCCCCCCCCTGGGGCTGCGCACGTGCCGCCGGCCAGGATTTGCACCCCACCCTCCTCCTGCTCCTCCTCCTCCTCCTCCTCCTCCTCCTCCTTCCCTTCCTCCTCCTCCTCCTCCTCCTCCTCCTCCTCCTCCTCCTCTCAACTTCCTCCTCCTCCTTCTCCTCCTGCTCCTCCTCCTCCTCCTCTTCTTCCTCCTCCTCCTCCTCCTCCTCCTCCTCCTCCTCCTCCTCCTCCTCCTCCTCCTCCTCCTCCTCCCTCCTCCTCCTCCTCCTCCTCCTATTCCTCCTCCGCCGAGGGTGACGGTTGAGCCTCGCTCGCCGTTTTTTCTGGGATCCATGACACTATGACCTTCCTCCTCCTCCTCCTCCTCCTCCTCCTCCTCGTCCCTCCTCCTCCTCCTCCTCCTCCTCCTCCTCCTCCTCCTCCTCCTCCTCCTCCTCCTCCTCCTCCTCCTCCTCCTCCTCCTCCCCCCCTCTTGGACGCCCCCCTCTTGGCCGCCCCCGCATCTGCGTGGCTAAATTATTTGGCTCCACATCGAGCCGCATCGTCGGTGCGGGAGCGATCCCTCGACCCCACATGGACGGGCCCTACCTGTGAGGCCCGGCGCTCCAGTTCTTCCGATGCACTGGCACCTGGAGGTCTGGACCATTTCCTTGGGGCCAGTTGTTCGTCCTAGGTCGTCACTCGTTGTCGTCGTCGTCGTCAGCCTCCTGTCGTCGTCGTCGGCCTCCTGTTGGCGGCGAAAACCGAACCCTACCCTCGCCGATCGACGACTGAGGCAACTCGATGGGCAGCTTCGTCAGGGTTCGGGATTTGTCGAGTACGTGGCGAGATCCGAACCCTACCCCCACCTCCCATTGATTCAGGAGAATCGATGCTCGCGGGGATAGGGTTCGGATGTCGCCACCTATCCTGGCGGCCTCCCTGGGCGACAACGGGGAGAAAGGGCAGAAGCCTTTGAATCAGCTGCCTGCGCAGCGTTTTTCTGCTCCGCATGGCCTCTCAGCCCCCTCTCAGAGATCATCACCTCTTGCGTGGGTTCGCAAATTTTTGCCAACCGTCTTGGTCGTTATGGGAGTGTGGAGTGCCTTGGCCGCTCGTGGGACTGTTGAGGAAGGTGTAAAGGCGATCGGGAGGGGTGAGTGGTGATCGCATCTGGGCGCGAGTAGGAGGGGGGTCCTGAGAGCAAAAAACCAGAAACCTGGTCAGACAGCACAGGAGCAGCTGACTACTCCGCTACAGCCGCCGCACACGATGAGGTCTTAAACTTGAGTCTGGCGTGCCCCTCTACAGGAGGAATATTCAAAAATAGTCAAACATATCATATGGGGACTCTGTTGTTGGTATGTTTCGGGCCATGTTTGCGCATGTTTTGATTATTTTTTAATTGTTCGTCCAAAACCCCGCGTAGGGGACAGGCCCGACCTGGTCTTAGACTCCTCCATCGATGCTCCTCCTGCGCGCCTCTGGCACCCGGGCGCCTCTGGGGCCACGAAGAGGGCCTCGTTGCTTGTCTAGCGCTCCTCGACTGTGGTAAGGATGGGGCAGGTGTCCAAGACAGTGGGGGCGCGCATCAAGAAGCCATATGCTGTTCGTCAGGGCAGGGGTGGACTTAAACGGCGGTTTGGCGATTTCGTGGGCCGTTTTCGTTTCGATTTCGTTTTGCGTTCAAGGCGGATTGAAGACAAAATGAGGGAAAACGAAAACAAAACGAACACGAAAAACACCGTTTAGGTTCAGCCCTGCGTCAGGGTATTCTGGATGTCTTCGCTCCTCGCGCTGCGCGGTGGCTTCCCGCAGCCGCTGAAGGAGCTGATGCGTTCAGGGTGCTCCGGTTTTCCCCTCAGGTGCACTTCGCGCACGGGTTCTCAGGGTTGGGTTTCTCGTGAGGGTTTCTTGCGGCCGCGCCCGCACTGTAATCCCCTTGCATTGGTGCCTTCGCGGTCTCGTATCGGCGAACCACCGAGGACACGCTTGCGGCGGGTTGCACCAGTGGACGCTCACGGACCAGACATATCCCTGCCCTGCCCTGCATCCTGAGGACGCGCGGCCATCGAGATCCGAAGTTGCAAACAACATGCAGCATCGCCAATAATCACGACCCGAGCCCATGTTTCTGCGGCATGTGTAGAGCCGGATCGATGTGTGATGGTCTTGGGGCCCGAGATTGGGCGAAATCGTTTGGTGCAGAAAATTGCAGCGACTGGCTATCACGAGTGGACGCTAGCGGGCCCTACACACGGCCGTCGTCCGCCGTCGCGTTGTCCGTCGTCATCCCCGCCGTCGTGTTGTCGTCGTCCGTCCATTATCGATCGTCGTGCTTCGCCGTCTCTCGCCGCGGTCGGACAGACTTGTCCTGCGCCCTCGCGGCGTGCGGCGTCTGTGCGTGCAAGGGCGGCCCCGAGGCAGGCAGCGCGGGCCGTTCTAGGATTGGCCGGCAGCGGCCGCAGCAGCAGAGCGTTCTGCACCAGGAAGGTCGGCGGCGACATCCGAATCCTACTCCTCGCCGATTGATGGTTCCGATTCAGGCAGCGCGATGGGCGGCGGGGGCAGGGTTCCGAAGTCGTCGAGCACGTGGCGAGCTCCGAGGCCTACCCCCGCCTGCCGTCGGTTCAGCAGAATCCAGGGTCAGTGGGGTGTAGGCTTCGGACGTCGCCACCTAGGGTGCTTTGGATTGCGACTCTGATGAGGCTCGCGACCTGTCAGATGAGGCCGTCGCTCAGTGATCGAGCAGCAGCTGATCTTCAGCCAGCGGACAGAGCGGGCGCCAAGGCCTTGTGATGCACCGATCCCCCCCCCGCAGTCCCCTAGCTCCAGTCCCCTCCCCCTCCTCCTCCCCCTCCTCCTCCTCCTCCTCCTCCTCCTCCTCCTCCTCCTCCTCCTTCCTCCCCCTCCTCCTCCTCCCCCTCCTCCTCCTCCTTCCTCCCCCTCCTCCTCGTCCCCTCCCCTTCAGCTGGCAGCGGCTGGTGGGAGGGCGGTGCGTGCCATGTCCGGGAGGACGACAACGGGGGGGCGCTCCGCGTGCGGAGGCCCGGGATTCGAGGCACGGGGGCCCCGAAGCGACCTTTTCACACTGCCACCGCGGGCCAAGGAAAGGGTGGATTACAAGTGCGCGCTTCTTCACCCCGCGCTCGGGCCCCCCCCCCTCCCCCAAGGGCTCATGTCGATTCCTCCCATTCGATTCGGCTCGAGTCTTCCCGATTCTTTCGGATTCGATTTCGGATTCCGAGTTTGGCTCCGATTTCTTAATGAAGGCCCACTAGGCTGCCGATTTCCGCCGATTCGACTTTTCCCGACTCGGCTGCCGATTTTCGCCGATCCGATTCATTTCGATCGCGGGTCCGACTTGCCGATTCGATTCTGGGCTCTCTTCCCCCCCGTCAAGAACACCTGACATGTGATGCAGCGCTTGCGATGCCGTCGTGCCTCGTCCCTGCTCGGAGGCCGCCGTCTACCAGGTCGTGGCTGCCTGCCAGGGGCGTACCGGCAAGGCTCGCGTGAGCTCCCCTTTTTGACCATTGCAAGGGTCGGCCTGATCTAGTGTGCTCTCTCTCTCTCTCTCGCCATCCCTCTCGGTCTGTTTGTTTGCTGTTATCGTGCTCTCTCTCCTTCTTTTTTGTTTCTCTCTCTCTGTGTGTGTTGCTTCTCTCTCTCTCTCACTAGCTATCTCTCTCTCTCTCTTTTCCAACCATCCTGTGGTGTTGGGTCCTCGTTTTGAAGAGACAGCGGCGCCGTGCGTCACCTCGTCACTCCTGCTCCCCTTCCTCCTCCTCCTCCTCCTCCTCCTCCTCCTCCTCCTCCTCCTCCTCCTCCTCCTCCTCCTCCTCCTCCTCCGCGAGGTACTGGTGATGTGCCAGGAATGGTGTCGGGGGGAACCTGAGATGTTCCCAACCATCCTGTGGTGTTGGGTCCTCGTTTTGAAGAGACAGCGCCCCGCGTCTCCTCCTCCTCCTCCTCCTCCTCCTCCTCCTCCTCCTCCTCCTCCTCCTCCTCTCCTCTCCTCCTCTTCCCCTTCCTCCCTCTTCCCATTCCTTGCCTCGGCTCTCCGCATGCCCATTTCATTCTGGCACACCGCTCACGCCGTTCGTGGCCCCATAGGGAGCTCCACCGAAGGGCCTCTGATGCCAGGGTCTCAGAGTCCTGGGCCCTAGACTTCAAGGCGACAGATTCCTGGGCCCTGGATTCCTAAGCCCTGAGAGCCCCTTTGGCCTTAGAATCCTGGGCCCTGGACTCCAACGCCGCAGACTCCAGGGCCCTGGGCCCCTATGCCCTAGACTCCAGGGCCATAGAGTCCTGTGCTCTACATTCCAGGGCCCCAGCTTCCGGGGCGTCAGATCCCAGGGCCTTGGACGTTGTGGGCCCTAGATTTCTACGGACCTCGACTCCTGGGCCCCAGACTCTATGGATCTAGAGATTCCTGGGCCCTAGACTCCAGGGCCTTGAGCTCCCGGGCCCTAGATTAAACGGCCCCCGACTCTTGGGCCTCAGACTCCAGGGCCCTATACTCCTCGCCCCTCGCCTTAGCCCTGGCGTAGCTCTCGCCGCAGCCATGGCTCGTTTTGCGTTGGTTGTTGTTTGCGTGTTTCGAACAAGCCTCAAACAGGATTCCGTCCCTCGCCCCAGCCCTTGTCATGTAGCCCTCGCCGCAGCCCTGGTTAGTTTTTTCATATGTGTTTTCTTTTTCTCCTTCGCAAAAGCATCAGACGGGACTTTGCCTCTCGCCTTAGCACTGGCTTTGTAGCCGTCTCCGCAGCCATGGTTTCTCTGCTGATTCGTTGTTCATTGAGTTTCGCACAAGCCTCAAACGGAACCTTACCCCTCGCCTTAGCACTGGCCTTGTAGCCCTCGCCGCATCCTTGGTTCGTTGTTCATATAGTTTTTTGTTTGGTTTGTTTCTTTACCTTCGGCGTTTCTGCCACGGCCACACACGGGACCTCGGCCCTCGCTTTAGCCTTGGCCCGGCAGCCCTCGCCGCAGCCCTGTTTATTTTTCCGTGTTGTTGCTTTCGTTTGTTATCGCACAGGCCTCAAACGGGACCTCGCCCCTCGCGTTCTCCTTTGCCCTGTAGCCTTCGCCGCTGTCCTGGTTTGTTGGTTTTCGTTGTTGGTTTTCGCGCAAGCCTCAAACAGGACCTCGCCCCTCGCCTCAGCACTGGCACTGAAGCCCTCGCCGCAGTCCTGGCTCGTTGTTCGTTTCGTTTCGTTGGTTGGTTCGCCTCGTATGTTTCCGCGCAAGCCTCAAACGGGACCTCTCCCCTCGCCCTAGCCCTGGCCTTGCAGCCCTCGCCGCAGCCCTGGATAGTTTTTTCGTTCCGGTGTTCGTTCATCTTGTGTTGTCGGTTTGTTTGCGTCAAGCCCCCTGCCAAAACCTCGCCCGTCGCGTTCGCCCTGACCCCAAGCCCCAATCAATGCTGCCCCGTCCCCAGCCATAATTCCATGTCTTCGTTTCGTTGTTCGTTTTGATTCCAACGTGGTCTGCGAAAGTTGTTTCGTTGTTCGGTGTGTTGCTTCGCTGAATGGCGGCCTCGTTTCGTGATTCGTATTCGTGTTGTACCCGTTGCGTTTTAAACATTCATTTTGAACGTTGGTTTCGTTTCGTTCCTCGTTCTAAACGGAAGCGCGTTTTCAACATCGCAGAAATTGGGAGGACGCTGAAACCTTTTCAACAAGCCATCAGCAAACATGCAATTGACTTGTGGGGACCCTTTTGGGGAGTCAGTTAGGGCCTCTGAGGGGCTTGGAGGCATCCTGGACTCATTGGTATTATGGAACACGGAGAAATCAAAACAACTCGAGGTCACTTCATTTCGTGCCTCGAGGCACGGTGGTGGATATGATATGTCCGCCGCCGTGCAGTATGGGGATCTAGTGTATCCGCTACCGCGCTGTATCGGAGGTTGGGGGGTGAGTCCGACGTGAAACGGAGACCCCCCTACCGGGAAATCGATTTCGGTTTCGGCTTCGTGTGGTGCGTGCCGTGCGTGCGTGCGGGCGAGGCGAAGCTGCGTGGGCGGGCGTGAGGAAATCCTCCTGTGGCTGGGCCGCGGCCAGACCAAATGTTTCTCCTCCGGCGGCCGGTGGCCCGCGGTTTCCCGCCGGTGTCCCGCTGGTGTCCCGAAATCCTCCTGTGGCTGGGCCGCGGCCGGACCAAAGGATTCTCCTCCGGCGGCTGGTGACCCGCGGTGTCCCGCCGGTGTCCCGCTGGTGTCCTGCCGTGGTTGCGGCGAGCTATCCAATGCAAGTCTACATGCAAACCGACATGCAATCCGAAAAGCACATCGAAGTGCAAATCGACATGCACATCCAAATGCAAATCGTAAGGTTCCGTGGGTTGCGTATAAAAAAATCGGCGCCTGCGGCGAGCTTTCCGATGCAAGTCGACATGCAAATCGAGATGCAAATCGAAAAACAAATTGACATGCACATCGATATGTCGACATGCAAATCGAGATACAGATCGAAAAGCAAATCGACATGCACATCGATATGCACATCGAGTGCGCTTCGTCAACATCGCCACATCACATCACGCTCACGATCACAATCACACTACTCACTAGACTGCGCACCACAGGCATCGTCAGAATAACAACCACCACTGTTGCCCACTGCTGCCCCCCCCCCACATCCTTATCACCCGCAGGGTGGTCGTATAGGTAGGATTTTATATACGTGTATTTCATCTGCATATATACATACACCCTTCACTACCAGGTCAGTTGAATACTCACCCTGATCGTGCGCAGTCTCGAAAACTGTGAATGGAACCCGTGTAATACCCTCATATATACTCCTTATCCTTACCTCTCCCGCGCCTGGCCGTTTGGGCTCAGGTACTGAGTTGGAGCGATCGCACCTTGATCGCGTGGGAGGGAAAGATATTCATCTATCCCTCCATCTCTCTACCGACGGATCAGGGGTTCTGTACCCTTGTACTTCAACCCCATACACAGGTTATCAGCCCTTTAAAGCTCACCCTCACCGACTCGCCCGCGGTGACCTCGCATGCGAGCCTGATGGAGCCACTTCGGCGCATGCGCCGCAAGGGTTCCATCGGCCCTTCGCGTCCGAGCTCTCCCACGGCCCGACGGCTCGGTGACGAGTTGGAGAGCATTAGTGCGGACTGTGTTGGTGTTCCAGATACCCCCCCCCCCCCAGCTCCCAAGGGCCCGAGGCGCGACTAGCTGCTGAACTTCGCCGCAGCGCCGCCCGCGGGGGGACGGGAGAAGGAGTAGGAACAGGAAGGAAGGAATTTCACACGCCGACCTTCGATCCTCCCTCCCCTTCCCCGTCGGGAGCAATCCCAACCGCGTCAGGCGAAAGCCTTACTGGTCTCGATACTCCAGGGCGCTTTCGCGCTAACCGCCGATGGACCTCAGGTGCTGGGACCCCCAGCCCTGCGACCGCCCCTGTGGCGGAGCACGTAGCTACCTTCGAGGAACTCAGTAGACCAGTGTCGGCACGGCCGCAGACGCGGTACCCCAAGGTATCATCGGATGAGACACCACACACACATGGTCCGAGTCGCAGCTCGTCCGCGCGCAACCGCCGTGGAGCCCCAGGCCCATGCGGCGAAAGCAGGTCGAGCCCGCGCACTGCCTCTCAGAGGCCATGCACTCCCCGCGACAGGGGACACAGGGAAGCTGACGCTCCCCACCTCTCCATCTCAGACGACCAGCTGGCGGAGACGTCCGCCGCAGGTGACATAGCTGAGCTCAGAGACCAGGTTGAAACCTTCGTGTCCAGCCAATACTCTGGACTACTACAGAGCGTTCAGACGAACGCCACCGACACTGCAGCCATACGCCGCGATCTTGACGGCGCCTTAGGGATCATCGATTCCAGGATCGCCGAAGATCGACGCATCATAGGAGAACTGCAGTACCAGGTTGATCGTGAGGTGTCACACTCAGGTGAACGAACGGCGATGATCGAGAACCTGCGCACCTATCTCGCGCAGATGGAGCAACAACTTGTGATCGTACGCGACACAGGCGTTTCTGCGGTCAGGATTTTACATGATGAGATCCACGACCAGCTCCGCAACCGACCAACTCCAACCGAGGCCACAGACCTTGGCGACGTTCAGTCTCAGATCAATGATCTTCGATCTTATCTAGACCACACTACGGCGACGCTTCGTACCGAAGCACACACAAACTCGTCGAACCTGATCGACATGTTGCAGCGTACTGAGAGAGTCATCACTCAAAGGCTTGATGCGACCAACGCTGTCGTGCAGCCACTCGCTAACCGGATCTCTGACATAGAGCAGCGTTTCCCTGGTGTACAGGACGCCCTGGCAGAGTTGCGTGTCGGACGAGCCCAGACTGATCAGCTGGATTCTCCTCCCACGGTTTACGATTTCGCCCGCCTCGCTGACAGGTTGCAGGAGGTTGAGAAGGCGGCGGACCACGCGCAGTTAGAGCTCTCCCAGGTTATTCATGAAAGAGATACTGAGAAGGTACGTGTAGAGAGTTACCTCGCACGTC